CGACACTACCTACTGTGCCACTGCCTCGCCCCTGAATCAAAACATTTCTTCAGTTTTTTTTTTTTTTGTGGATAAATCATTTATGTTCACTACACTTAAATTTGTAAAACAATTGAGTTAGCTTAATCTGTGTTAGGACAACATAAAGGAATTTATGTTGTAATTTGTACACTGTAAACTTATATTTTATATGACAAAAATATATAAACATATTTATTTGCTTGTTCAAACTTATTTAAAATAAGCTGAATCAACACAATTCTTGAGATTTTATTGGGACAACTTATTTTTTATTTTCAATCAGAATTTGTTAAAAGTGTCAATTTAACTTAATTGATTTGTGTTGGGACAACAAGAATAAATTGTGTGGAACCCTGCATTTTTTTACAGTGTTGTACACTGTAAAATTCTTACACTGTTAAAAAAGTTAGTTAAAGCTAGTAAACCAAGTTGACTTTACAATAATAACTTAAGTAAACCTTATGTAACTTGGAACTGTTAAGTTGACTTAATTTTATAATTATGCAAATTGTACTTACTTTTTGAAATAAAAGAAAAAACTAATCACTTTTTATCCAAAACACCGTAATTGTATATTTTCCAGCTTTTCTGTATCTAGCAAAATGACATAGTAAAATAAACATGCTCTTCCAGACTCCAGTGTCTTCTAAATTAATTACAGGCTGTAATTGTAGATCTTATAAACTTAATAAAACACCAAGTATGAAATATTGTAGTAATTACAGTAATCATTTAAAAACAGACGTGCTTATGCTGACACTGTAAAAATGCATTAGATGACTTTTAAGAAGTGGGTTCAATTAGCATAATTATAAAAATTAGGTCAACTTAACAGTTCCAAGTTACAAGGGTTTACTTAAACTATCTTTGTGAAGTCAACTTGTTGCTTTTAGGGCAATTGGTTTGCTTGCTTTAAGCAACTAATCAGTGTACTTTACAGTGTACACAACTCGGTGATCGAATAAGTTATCAATTTAGTTAACTAATTAATTTAAGTGAATTGTACATAAAACAATTAAGTTGTCCCAAATAAATCTCAATAGTTGTGTTGTTTCAGCTCATTGTAAATAAGTTAGAAAAAGCAAATATTAATCTTTTTTTGAGTGTAAGTAAAGTAAATACAATATTTACAAAATTAAAAATGCATAAATTACAGTAAACTGACGCATTTAGCATCATACAGCATTCTTGCTTAGTCTGGCCTTTCACAGATTGTAAAAATGATATATAATTGTGACAAAGGATACAGCTTCATCAGGTTCATCTGCTTTGACCACTCATCAGTAATAACCACAATTTCCCCTACCGCATTAACCTAGCGATTTTACACAAGCAGTTTACAGGAAATAAAGGCAAGGTCCACTTCTGCTTTTTTCAGCAATCATTGCTTTCTTCTTAGTCATGCGTCTCAGCAGTGACACTGACTTTTGGGAAGGCATCATCATCATCATCATCATCATCATCACACCAGAGACTGAAAATATGCAAGAGAGAATCACCGACCCCATAACCTTCACCAAAGGAGAACACACACGTTGAGTGTTTTCCAATGCTAACTGTTAAAATACGACGCAGGTAAAGTAGTGGGTGTTGTAAAGGTCTGAGTCTCTGTGTGCGAGGGGGAGAGGAAATGGGCTCAGTGACCTTTGCAGCCAATTTCCCCTGTGTTCAAACAGCAGCATGAAAGCCAGGTCTGTTTCTGAAGTCTGTGCAAAATGTCAATTGCAACTTATCCCACCAGCAGAAGGATTTGCTCTGAAAGTAGATTCCCTTATTGTGGCCGTCAGCTTTTAAGTCAATGCACATGGATGGTTTGACCCAATCCTCGCTCTTTCTTTAGCGTGCAGTGTGTGTCCTTTATTAAGGATAGACACAAAGCGATCTGTGAATATGGGCATTTTGTTTTGCATCATCTTCCATCGTAAATTTACTCAGCATCTTTTGGCCTGGCCATAGTGTATAGAAATAAAGGTACAATAGCTGTCGTTGGGGCAGTACCCTTTTAAAAGGGTTACACTGAAATTGTACTTCCACTGAAAAAAAAGGTGCCTATTAGTAGCTAAAAGTCACACTTTTGCACTTAAATGGTACATATTGGTTCACATATAGGGTCCAAATGTTAGCTTTTTGGAAAAATTGACAAAAAAAAAAAAAACATACCATACCAAAATACCATTTATTTACCCTTAAGTGGTTTCAAACTTGCATAGATTTTTTTCTCTGTTGAAAACAAAGAAGATATATTTTTTTTAATATTAGAAACCTGTAACCAGTGTTGGGTGTAACGCATTACTAGCAAAATAAGGCATTGATTAAAGAGTAAAGTAACTCATTATTTTAAAAAAAGCATTATTTACTTTAACTAAGCATTATTTAAAAAAATTAAGTAATAATATTTTAGATTACATAAAATTTTTTTGTTAACTTTTTAGTTTCAAAACTCTGCTATTATTTTGGGACTTCTGCCTGGATTTGGCCTACCCAAATTTAAAAGCTTCCCAAATCCACATGCAGAGGTGTAAATGCAAAAACTTTGGTATCATTTTAAAGAAAACCCTTTGAATTTTTATAAAACACTATTGAATATTGTTTTTAAAATAACTGTATTGTGTTTAAAATAACTGTATATGTTGTCTGTGTTATGATAAATTTTTGTATTTTTTTTATAAACTCAAATTTGAAAGTGTACTTTTAGGTTCTGTGTGGTCTAGCATTGAAACGTGGAGTCTGACACTGGGGGATCCATTTGCAGTATATTTATAAAACACAGTTTAATACTAAGCACACAGTAAGCACTTGTGTGCGAACTCACATCAAACATAGTAATACTGGGTCGATAGGCTGGCGGCTGGCGGTCAAGGATCGTGATAGCAGGCATGGGTCAGAGGCAGGCGGCGTGGATCATAGGCGATCTGTAAGGCAGGGTTCGAGGCAGGCGGTGTGGATCAAAGTCGAGGTACAAGGCAGGGTTCAAGGCAGGCGGCAGGCAAGGCAAGGTCAAGGCACAGTCCAGGTTATAACGGGGAGATCAGGCAAGGATATGAACGCTCAGTAATGTCAGCAAGGGCAGAACAAGACTTTGCACTGGAGGGAGTGTTTGGGCTGCTTATATGTGTGTGCGTGGGTAATCAGTGAGATGTGCTGCAGGTGTGTTGCAATCAGTGTTTGAGGATGATGTAATGTTTAGAAGTCCGGTGATGGTGACCTCTGCTGGCCAGCGATTGGAATGACAGGGACCGAGTCGGTGACAGAGCCCCCCTCCTGCGAACGGGTCCTGACGTGAGAGGGACCACGACGCTGGGGTCTTCCAGAGGGATGAGGGGCCGGCATTTTCCGGATGCTGCAGGTGAAACTCTCTTAACAGAGTTGGGTCGAGAATATCCGTACGGTTGATCCATGATCGTTTCTCCGGGCCGTACCCCTCCCAGTCGATCAGATACTGTAGTTGTCCCCCTTGGCGTCTGGACTTCAGGATCTCATGGATCTGGTAAGCCTCCTCTCTGTCGAGGATCACCGGCTGCCACCTCCCTATCCACCTCAGCTGGACCAACAGCAGGCTTTGACGATCTATTTGGAAAGGACCATCGTACCTGGGACTGAGCTTTTTACAAGGGAGTCTGAGGCAGAGATCTCGGGTAGATAGCCATACCCATTGACCCGGGGACTATGTAGGACTGGGATGCCATTGATGATCTGCCTGCTCCTTGAAACGTCTGACAGCATGGGAAAGGTGAGTGTGTGCAACATTCCAGACATCTTCACATTTTTGAACCAGTGGTCAATGGCTGGGAGTTTGGAGGGTTCTCCTGACCATGGGAACAGAGGGGGTTGAAAACCTAGCACACATTGTAAGGGAGTTAGACCTGTGGATGCTTTTCTGAGGGAGTTCTGTGCATATTCTGCCCACATCAGAAACCGACTCCACTCTTCTTGGTTGGAATGACAATACGTGCGGAGGAAGCATCCTATTTCCTGGTTTAAGTGCTCTGTCTGACTGTTGGATTGTGGGTGATAACTGGAGGTGAGGCTGATATTGACGTTGAGATTTTTGAAGAAAGCAGACCATAAACAAGAAGTAAACTAGGGACCTCTGTCGGACACGATGTCTTCAGGTAAACCATAGTAGCGAAAAATGTAATTACATAATAGTTTGGCTGTTTCCAGGGTAACTTGGGAATGGGAATTAGTCTGCATGCTTTAGAGAATCTATGGCGGTGAGTATGGTGGTGTGGCTTTGGGACATGGGACGATCAGTGATGAAATCGATGGCTATGTGAGACCAGGGGCGACTTGGAATTTCCAGGGGTTGTAGCAGTCCAGCAGGGTGATGACGAGAGTGTTTATTCATGTTGCATAGGGAGCAATTCTTAATGACCTTGATAACATCCTTGTTGATCGAAGACCACCAGTAACGGTTCTGGATCAGATCTGTGGTGCCTGTGATGCCTGGGTGTCTGGAGTTGGGGTTTGCGTGAACTTCGGTTATGAATTTTTCTCTCAGAGATGTGGAAACAAACATCTTGTTTGCAGGGCAAGCCGGAGGTGTGGGGTGTTGAGACGTGGCTTGTGAGATCTCTGTATCGATATCCCACCTGATGGGGTCCAGGATGATAGACTCGTCTATGATAGGTTGTTTTTCAAGATCGAGTATTTCTTCATCGGAGAGACGGGAAAGATCATCAGCTTTGACATTCTTGGAACCGGGGATATGTGACTGAGAAGTCAAAACGTGTGAAGAACAGCGCCCATCTTGCCTGCCTGGGGTTCAATCTCTTAGCTGAGCAGATATACTCAAGGTTCTTGTGGTTGGTGATTACAGTGAATGGATGTTTAGCTCCTTCGAACCAGTGTCTCCACTCCTCCATAGCTGCTTTCATGGCTAAAAGCTTACGATTGCCCACATCATCATTTCTTTCAACAGAAATAAGCTTGCGTGAGAAGAAGGCGCACGGGTGGAGCTTGTTTGAGTTCTCTGGTTTCTAGGAAAGTACGGCTCCAATGCCAGTGTTGGATGCGTCAATTTCCAGGGTAAACGGCAAATTAGGATCAGGGTGGCAGAGGATCGGGGCAGAGGAGAAGCGAGATTTGAGGTGGCTGAATGCCCGAGTTGCGTCATTGCTCCAACTTAGTCGGGTACTACCTCCTTTGACCAGGGAAGTGAGCGGGGCGGCTACTGTGCTGAAATTTCTGATGAATCTTCGATAGAAGTTTGCAAATCCCATGAAATGTTGTAGTTCTTTTACTGTCTTGGGTTTAGGCCAGTTAATGACTGTATCAACCTTCTTCTCATCCATAGCCAAGCCCTCTGCGCTGATAATGTAACCCAGGAACGAGATGCAGGTTTGGTGAAATTCACACTTGGATAACTTGGCGTATAGTTGGTTTTCTATGAGTCTTTTCAGGACCGCTCTGACATAGTTGGTATGCTCCTCTAAGGAATTGGAATAAATGAAAATATCGTACACAATGACCCATTGATTCAGCATGTCTCTAAATACCTCGTTTATGAAAGCCTGGAAGACGGAAGGACTGTTTGCTAGGCCGAAGGGCATAACCAAATATTCATAGTGGCCATTTACAGTAGAGAAGCCGGTCTTCCATTCGTCCCCTTGCCTTATTCAGATGAGGTTGTAAGCACTGCAAAGATTAAGCTTGGTGAGATACCGGGCTGAGCGTAATTGTTCAAGAGCTGCTGGAACTAAAGGCAGGGGGTAACGGTATTTAACTGTGATCTCATTTAAACCTCTTTAGTCGATGCAAGGGCGTAAGCTTCCATCCTTTTTTCCGACAAAGAAAAAGTCAGCTGATGTGGGTGACATTGACGGGCGGATAAATCCCTTCTCCAATTCCTCCATCAGGGTGATCAAATACCACACAGAAACGTTGAATGAAATCCTTGAATGTGGGAAATATAGGGGTGTTGTCTTGCCAGACAGCAGTAGCCCAGTCGAGAGCCTTACCAGCAAGCAGGGAGCACACAAAGGCGATCTTGCTGTTCTCATCAGAAAACATGTGGGGCTGTTGAGCGACAAATAGTTTGCATTGCAACAGAAATCCTTTGCATTTGGCTGGATTGCCAGTTAACTTCTCAGGGAATGCTAGGCAGGGACTGGACAGGAGAGGTGTGACAGTTGCTGCTGATGTGTCACTAGTACCTAAGCTTGAGTTGTGAGTTCCATTGACAAGACCTGCATGGCTGCGGGACCCATGTTGGGCGAAGTCTTCTGAAACAAGGAGTCTGACACTGAGGGATCCATTTGCAGTATATTTATAAAACACAGTTTAATAATAAGCACACAGTAAGCACTTGAGTGCGAACTCAAGGCAAGGCAAGGCAAGGCAAGTTTATTTATATAGCACATTTCATACACAGTGGCAATTCAAAGTGCTTTACATAAACAGGAATAAAAAAGACAAGTTTAGGAACATAAAATGCAGACAATAAAATTATTAAAAACAGATAAAAACAAATTAAAATGAGTTAAAATAGGTTATAAAAGAATGAAAAAGAAAACGAAAAACATAATAGTGCGATCTGTCGGACGCAGCACAGTGCTCATTCAGTAAAGGCACAGCTAAACAGATGTGTTTTCAGTCTTGATTTGAATGTGCCTAATGTTGGAGCACATCTGATCACAACTCACATCAAACGTAGTAATACTGGGTCGATAGGCTGGCGGCTGGCTGTCAAGGATCGTGATAGCAGGCATGGGTAAGAGGTAGGCGGCGTGGATCAAAGGCGATATGCAAGGCAGGGTTTAAGGCAGGCGGCGTGGATCAAAGTCGAGGTACAAGGCAGGGTTCAAGGCAGGCGGCAGGCAAGGCAAGGTCAAGGCACAGTCCAGGTAATAACGGGGAGATCAGGCAAGGATATGAATGCTCAGTAATGTCAGCAAGGGCAAAACAAAACTTCACACTGGAGTGTTTGGGCTGCTTATATGTGTGTGCGTGGGTAATCAGTGAGATGTGCTGCAGGTGTGTTGCAATCAGTGTTTGAGAATGATGTAATGTTTAGAAGTCCGGTGATGGTGACCTCTGCTGGCCAGCGAGGGGAATGACTGGAACCGAGTTGGTAACAAGCGTGCTGTAATTCATTTTAGTGGTTCCTGCACTATTTTCATATTTCACCATTCTTTTGTTTGATCAAACTTAATTCACTGTGTTTGGACCATGTCAGACATATAAAAAGATTACTTATGCACATCATCTCAAAAACAGAGGACAAATGGCCCTCAAGCACACAGCATAAGGTAAGAGATGTCTGTGCTATCTGGGGCTGCTTATTGATCATAAATGTATTGTTTTCATTTCTGCGCCATGGAAACACTGCGATTCATTCGGCAACTGTTTGATATGTGAATATAATTCAGTAAAAAGAATGCTAGAACCGTATGAGCACCAGCAAGAGCTTTCATTTGAGCTATAACTTGTACATGTTATTTGAAAAATATGAAAATGAACCAATGTAAAATACCTAGCTCAGGTATCCAACATACTGTGTGTTTAAGTGTAAATAACTTTTGTACAGTACAATAAAAACCAAAGTGGTGCATATTTGCATAAAATATAGATTCTACAGTTTCAAACGAAACCACTTACCAGGGGTCTGGTGCAATGCTAGCCCTTTAAATCCTAAATCGAAGATCGATGATGTCACGGAGTTTAACTGTTTAAAATGCTTTTGAAAAATAAGTTCATTAATTTTCTTTTGGCTTAGTATTAATAATAATTCATTTCATTTGTTAATGGCGCCTTTCTAGACACCCAAAGTCACCTTACAGTAAGCATCAACAGCCATGCTAAAACAAATTAAAACAAATAATAAAACATTACCAAACAAGCATTGACCAAACAAGTAAACACACATGGCAAATATAAAATAACATAATAAAAAACATGATAAAAAATTGCTAATGGACGAGCTAGTCGAGGAGCCATAGAGTTAAAAGATCTGTCTCTCATTGTTCTTAATTGGTGTTACCAGAGAAGGCGTTGGCTGATCTAAGAGTGCATGAAGGGGTTTAAATATGGAGAAGTTTGTGGGATATTGAGGAGCAACATTTTAAAGTGCCTAAGTTAGAAGTAATATTTTAAAATCAATACAAAAGTTTACCGGAAGCCAGTGAAGCTGATAAAGAAATGGTGTGACATGTTCATAAGATGGAGTCCTAGAGGCTTCTATTTCAGAAATTGCCTCAGTGAAATTAACCACCAACTATTCCCACAAATGTTTTATTTTAGTGTACTATTTTTGCACTTAAACATATTAGTACCTAAATCATATCTCAAACTTGATTCCTGGAGGGCCGCAGCTCTGCACAGTTTTACTCCAACCCTAATCAAACACAGCTGATCCAACTAATCAAGGTGTTCAAGACTTCTTGAGATTAAGCAGATGTGAATTGGATTGATTGGAGGTGCGGCTCTCCAGGAATTAAGTTTGAGACCATTGACCTAAAGGGTCCATATTTTTCCATAATGCTTTATATTGGTACTTATAGCATACTTTAGTATACCTAAATGGTATATTAAGGGTTCATATTACTTATTGCATATTACAGCTTTCATTTCGCGAGTGTGCAGGAAAGTTTGTTTATGACGGTTTCTTTGTATTTACAATTTATTTGTGTGTGATTAATATGACATTTCTTTTATTCAAATGAAATTTCGTATGAATTTAAAATGTTGTAATTCACTCATTTTCTTTATTAATATAAATACTAAAGCTGCTGAACAGTCTCTACAGCACACAGAATTCCATATTATGCTCCATGAACAGGTGGTTTTCTCCTAGCACAGTTTATATATGTCTGTACTTTGTCCTGTTTCTTCATTATTTGTGATTCTTGTTTTATTTTCATAAAAAGTGTCTGGAACTGAAAATGTAATGAAATAAAGTATTTTAAGCATTTTTTAAACTGTATGTTATTTTTGTACACAGTCATAATTAATAAAACTATTAGTAGTGCTAGTGATAGTAGCAATGTTAATACCAGAACGGAAAAAAAAAACAAAAAAAAAACATTTAATCAAAATAACCCAAAGTACGGGGTTAAATTATATAACCCAATGCATTGGCTTTAAACAACCCATAGTTGGGAAGGTGCTATAATAACTTAAAGCTGGGTTTTATGTCGGGGTATTTTTAAACCAACTATTTTTACTAATTTATAAAATTCATTCATTTATTTCTTTTCAGCTTAGTCCCTATATAAATCTGGGGTCGCCGCAGCAGAATGCGGAATGAACCACCAACTTATCCAGCATATGTTTTACACAGCGGATGCCCTTCCAGCTGCAACCCATCACTGGGAAACACCCATACACACTCATTCGCACTCATACACTAAGGATAATTTAGCTTACCCAATTCACCTATACACATGTCTTTTGGGGGAAACCAGAGCACCCGGAGAAAACCCACGCAAACACAGGGAGAACATGCAAACTCCACACAGAAATTCTAACTGACCAGCCGAGACTCAAACCAGCGACCTTCTTGCTGTGAAGCGACAGCACTACCTACTGCACCACAGCGTTGCACTAATTTCTAATAATAATACTATATAATAAATATAATGCTAATACTACAAATTCTAATTTAAAAGAAAGTGAGGGAATGACTGCTTTAAGGTCCACTTTTTGAGAGGAACCACCTGTTTTAATAAGCTGTCTACGGGCCTGTCTCATGTTGCTTTAACCCGATCTTTATGATATTTTATGAAGAATATTTGTTTTTAATAATTAATAAAAGAAAACGTTAACTAACATTAACAATGTGTGATTACACAGAGACAAAGTAGCCTATCTTATAAAGATAAAGTGTGGAAATACATAGCAGGGTGTGCATCACAGAAATTCATTCTGACCTGACAAAACATTTAAGCCACCCTGAATCATTTCGCTAATCATTCTCATTTCATCAAAAATAAACTATTTCCACCAAAATATTAGAAATGTTTCCTTCTGACACACACAAAAAAAAAACATCACATCCGCAGAAGCAGGCGATCTGAACAGTGAGTCTTCAATGAATCTGTCTGTTTTTCAGAAAGGAGGGTGTGAAATATGCTAACGTTACTCAATGACTTCATTTTACAGTAAGCGGCAGATGGAAGTACTGCGGGGAGTGGAAGAACTGTATTCATGGTTTTAACACCACACCTCACTGTGATGCAACATACATGTATCAGTCAGCAGAAAATTCCATGTCACAACTTTTTAACTATTTTCGTCGTCGCACAATTCACTGCGCTTGTAAACATGACACTGCAAACGTCGCTCGGTTCCACATGTTGTCATTTCCATTTCCTTTCCTGAAAGACACACATACGGCGTCTCTCTCGGTCAGCCTCTGCTCAGTCATCGCTCTTGTCATGAAACTGCGCTTTTGCAATAGGGGGAATTCCTGGTTCCTTGTCTGACGAGCCCGTTTTTTTTCTCTCTCTCTCTCTCTCTCTGCTTCTCCCTTTTTTCCCTTTTTGTTTTATGGGAACTAAGGGCTGAACCAGTGAGATGTTTTTCCTCAGAAGCGCTTTGTATTGATTCATGACGAGGGGGCGGGAGAGACTCCCTCCCACTGCTTCCTTCTTACTGGGAAGTGATTGCAGGCTTACGGTACTGAAAGAGCATGAGTGAGTGAGTGACAGAGAAAGAGAGAGAGAGAGAGACAGAGATATTTAAGCAGAGAGAATTCAGAAGTCAAACATTCAGAAGTGAACGCTTGACATGTGGAGACTCTTGTGGCTAATAAGGATTGTGGATTTTAAAGCTACAACCTGGGATGAGCCTGTCTTTCTCTATCAGATAAGTATTGGATATTGATGATTTGACGTGAGTTGACGTGTTTTGAGTTGTAAAACTAATGAGATGAAATGAGATGTAAAATGAGACGTTGTATTGAGTGTAAATTAAATATATGTAGTTTGGGGTCAGTATGATTTTTAAATGTTTTAAAATAAGCTTCTTCTCACCAAGGCTGCATTTATTTAATCAAAAATACAGTAGCCTAAATATTGTAAAATTGTGAAATGTTATTGCGCTTTAAAATAAATGCTCAAAAAAGCTTTTAATGTAATTTAATCATTTATTCCAGTGATTTTAAAGATAAATTTTTAGCTTTATTACTCCAGTCTTCAGAGTCACATGATCTTTCAGAAATCACTCTAATATTAGTTATTATTGTTATTAATATTATTATTAATAATGGTACAGGCCTGTAGCCAGACTGGTGAAAGGAGTGGTTCTTTTTTCTTAAACTATATACCTTTTTGCAGTTATTCACCTAATTTTTTTATTTAATTATGAGGTTTAAAAAACTTTTTAGGCATTATTTTTGGCTGCATTTTGTTTTCAAATGGTCATCAACCACACTTTTTAATGTACCAAAACAGTTCCTAAAGATTTAGAAAAAAAAGAAAAAAAAAAACGAGAATAAAACTTATTTTTTAAATACAAATTCATTACATCACAAAAAAAGGATGCTGTTCAAGTTTTAAATTAACAGCTAGACTATTGTCTTTTATTAGGCAAACACAAACTGTCCAGCACATTTAGCTTTCCTCAGTCATGCTGAAGCAACAGCCAAAAGAGGATTCTGCTTGGTCTTAAAGCCTTCTTTCATGGATATTTTCACAATTTATTATGATATAGCAGTCAAATGAGCTTGTGTATGGGATAAATTCTGGACCTTTGTCAGTGAGGGGTGGGTTTTTCCGAACCACCCGAACCCCCCCTGGCTACAGTCTGGCGGTAATAGTAATAAAAGCAATAATGACTGGAGTAATCATTTTTATTTGAAACTACATACAGTAAGAAAGCAGTTATATAATTTTTTTACACTTAGTAAATGGCACCTTGATGAACAGAATCATTTTATTAAAATTTTTATTTAAATGAATGAATTATATATATATATATATATATATATATATATATATATATATAGTTGAAGTCAGAGTTAAAATTAGATTTTTTTTTTCTTCTTTTTAAAATATTTTCCAAATGATGTTTAACAGAGCAATGTAATTTTCACAGTATGTCTGTTAATATTTTTTCTTCTGGATGAAGTCTTATTTGTTTTATTTCTGCTAGAATAAAAGCAGTTCTTATTTTTTTAAACTCCATCTTATGTACAAATTTATTAGCCCCTTTAAGCTATATTTTTTCTTGACTGTCTACAGAACAAACCATCGTTATACAATAACTTGCCTAATTACCCTAACCTGCCTAGTTAACCTAATTAACCTAGTTAAGCCTTTAAATGTCACTTTAAGCTGTATAGAAGTGTCTTGAAAAATATGTAGTAAAATATTATTTACTGTCATCATGGCAAAGATAAAAGAAATCAGTTATTGGAAATGAGTTATTAAAACTATTATGTTTATAAATGTGTTGTAAAAATCTGCTCTCCGTTAAACAGAAATTGGGGAAAAAATTAAACAAGCGGTCTAATATTCAGGGGGGCTAATAATTCTGACTTCAACTGTATATATATATATATATATATATATATATATATATATATATATATATATATATATATATATATATATATATATATATATTATACACGCTATATAATGTTGTCATGTGATGCCTGGTCATTTAAAGGGATAGTTCACCCCAAAATGAAAATGGACTCTCTCTTTACTGTCCCTCAAGTGGTTCCAACTCTTTTTGAGTTTCTTTCTTTTATTAAACATAAAATGTGATATTTTAAAGATTGCTGGAAAACTGTAATGATTGACTTCCACAACAGTATTTATTTTTTCATACACTGTGAAACCCAAAAAGTTAAGGTAACTCAAACTGTTTTGAGGAAACTGATTGCAACAAACCATTTAAATTCAAAAACTAATCCTAATGACTAATGTGAACAATATTTAATTGCAAAATCAAAGAAATTTGAGCACAGTAAAACCCAATAAATGAAGAAAACTCAAACCGACACCTGTAAAACCCAATAAGTTAAAGCAACTCAAACCATTTGAGGAAACCGATTGCTACAAAGCATTTAAGTTCAAATACTAATTCTAATGAGTACTGTGAACTTAATCCATTTGAGTAAAAGAAGCAATTTGAGCACAGTAAAACCCAACAATTGAAGAGAACTCAAACCAACTGAGTACTGTAAAACCCAATAAGTTAAGGCAACTCAAACCATTTGAGGAAACCGATTGCTACACACCATTTGAGTTAAAAACTGAATCTATATAAGTACTCTGAACTTACTCAATTTAAGTTGAAGTAATGAGGTATTTAATTAACTCACTATTAACACAAAACACTTCTAAATGAGTAGATTTAACCTTCAGCAAATTTTGTGTTTACTACACTCAATTCATTTGATAAGAATGATTGTTGGGTTTTACAGTGTACTATAGACCTCAGTTTTTAAAACATATATTTTCTTTTGTGCTCAGTAGAAAGAAAGTCGCTCAAAGGTTTGGAACCACTTGAGAGAGTAAATTCTGAGTCAACTCAAATGTTGGGCTAAACTATGAATTTAATCGCGACATAGGCATGATTAGAAACCTGGATGTAAAATGTGAATAATACATGTGTGGTGTTTCTGAGGGGGTTTCCGAGTGTGCACCCATCAGTGCAGTTGGACTGGTTCAGTGCCGTTTATTGGGAAGAGACCGTTTCCTGAAAGTCCTCAGGTGTGGCAGGTACTCAGAGAAGGACTTTTTTCTTCAGCAGTTCGGTAATGATCAAACATTAAACAAATATGTGATGGAGATAACATTGAGACCAAAAAAACGTGAGGTCAATTACGTCACTAATCTTTTGGCCCTTGCGGAGAAACACCTATGAATTTATAATCAGCGTTTCTCATGACCGAGGAAAACAGCAGCAGCAGATAAGTGTGTCTCAAATCATCAGGGCTTCTTGTTTGTCTGTTAGTGTATTAAACATGTATAATAATTTGAAGTTTGGAGAAGTTTTCAGGTTTTATTATGAATTTTTTTAAACGCACTGAACAATAGCCTACTGTTTCATTATTAATTAAAGTTTCATTAATGGTGGCTGAGTTTGTTTTGAGCACTTTTCCCTGAGAACTGAATTCCATAGATGGTGTTCATGAAAAGTTCATCTATGGGCTCAGTTCTTCTGGCAATCTGTTTAATGTCTGCTACAAATTCTGAAAAAACTGGCATACATACCATTTTTATTCTGTTATATTTGTGTGTGTGTGTGTGTGTGTGTTATATATTATTGTGTTTTTATTTAGCTGTTCTTGTACTGTTTGTTTGTTTGTTTTGTGTATTCCTGTATTTTAATTATTCTAAAAATTTTGAAAGTCGAAATGTAAAAGTATAAAAATGAAAACAATGTGATATTGGAGACCACTTTAAAGTTATCATCAGTTCCCTTGCTTTGCCATGACTCGTTTGAGTGTTTTTATTTTACTGAAATATATGTATAAATGTAATTAATCTAAGATTGTCATGTAGAGCATTTATTTGGAGATAATAAATATATTAAATAATATATATATATATTAAATTCAAAACAGTATATTTGAATCCCCCTAATGACATAAAACACACACACAAACATTTTGTTGCATCAAGATGTTAATTGGAACGAGACTTTTAAGATTTCCAGACGTTTTTGTATCATTCATTCATTCATTTATTTTCTTGTCGGCTTAGTCCCTTTATTAATCCGGGGTCGCCACAGCGGAATGAACCACCAACTTATCCAGCAAGTTTCTTATTTTTCTAATGCCCATCCAGCTGCAACCCATATCTGGGAAAATATTTTTGTATAACGAATAAAATTAGAGAGGTGTCATTTAAAATTGTTCATCGTATTTACCCTGTAAAGCAGGTAATTGCAAGATTTTGTAAAGATATTGATTTAAAATGTACTTTCTCTAACTATAAAGAGAATTGTTCATTTATTTTATGATTGTATTTATACACAATTGTTTAGGCGTGATCTTTTGTTTTTTGTTAAGCAGAGTACGAATATTGCATTGGAATTCAAAGAAAAAGATGTTTTATTTTTTTATGAGAATACAGTTGACTTCAAAATTTGGCATATTGTTAATTTGCTCATTATATATGGAAAGTTTTTTATTCATAAATGTAAATGGGCTGTGAAAAAAACTAATTTTACTCACTTTAAAATAGAAACAAGTCATTACCTATGCACGATAAAAATACCAAAGCAAAAAGAACTGTTAATTGTTTTAAAGCCTTAAATTTAGTTTTTTGAATAATTGTTTTTTTCTTATTATTATTATATTGTACTTGATTGGATGTTAATATAATGTTGTTATTGCCTTTGTATGTTCTGTGTTCTAAAATTGCAATAAAAAAAGCAACAAAAAAAACAAACATTTTGTTGGATGTATGTCTTTTGTGTTGTCAAATAAATCTTTCCAAATGAATTCAAACCTGCTCTGTGTATTTATTTTACAGTATATATTTGCATGTATTTATTTCTTATTTATTCAAAATCCTACGCACATGCACTCACATGCAGAGTGACATTTATCTGACTCCGTGGGTGTGCTTACTGCTTATCAAATGAGCAAAGTCTGTCCATGCTTCCGTCATCCAGAAATGTCCCCCATTGAAAGTACTGGCTACATATACAGGTAACATGGGTCAGATGATCAGCAGTGCCTTTTTAATGGTGCATGACGTGCACTGTAAAACATTCTGGGCTCCACACAATTGATTTGACTTAGCACAACACCAAGGAATTAAGATATCTTTTACAAATGTAAGTGGATTGAAGATAAAACAGTTAAGTTGTCCCCTCCTAAAAAACTGAAGAATTGTGTTGTTTCAGCTTATTTGAAATAAGTAGTTTGAACAAACAGCAAACGTCATCTTTTGAGTGTGGATTCATGTCAGTATGCCAATGGGTCAGATATAAACGTATACAGGTGCTAACAAACATGGGCAGATTTTCAGTAAAGCCAGTGGGGAACTGGCGTATGCAAATGATGCACTGACTCCCACGCTCACACCGCAGGCATGTCTTATCTCTTATTCCCAGCAAATGACTCAGGATCGATTCCTCGGAAATCTGGAATAATGGAGGGCTTCCCAACACAGCTGTCCATGGGTAGGAATATCATTATACGCCAGTCTTTCAGTGACTAATGGAAGTGGCCAGAATAGTACCAAGTCGAGGTCTCACTGTAAGAAATGCTGGATTTTACACAATTGACTTGTGTTGTGACAACATGAAGGAATTAAGTTAACTCATTAGTTTGAACAAATTTAGGTGGGTTTAACATATTAAGTTGTCACAAAAAATTAAGTTGTCAAAATTTGTTTTGCTGTCAATTCAGTTGTCGCAATAAAAAACTCAATATTTGTGTTGTTTCAGCTCGTTTTAAATAAGTAGTATGAACAAACAGCAAACATCATTATTTCTAAAGTGTAAAAAACAAAGTTATGAGAACAAATGTTACGTTTTAATCAGTTAACCAGGCTTTAAAAATGTTTTTTTTTTTTTTTGTCACACCTAATATTTTTGTCAGTTTGATGATGTAAGTTGAGATGACTAAAAAGGTACATTTAGTTCAACTAAAAAAGCTTCATTCATTTATTCATTTTCTTTTCGGCTTAGTCCCTTTATTAATCAGGGGTCGCCAGAGCGGAATGAACCGTCAATTTATCCAGCAGTTTACACAGCGAATGCCCTTCCAGCTGCAACCCATCACTGGGAAACGTCCATACATACTCATTTTCACATACACCATATGGCCGATTTAGCTTACCCAATTCTCCTATACACAGCGCATGTCTTTGGTCTTGTGGGGGATACCAGAGCACACGGAGGAAACCCACGCGAACACAGGGAAAACATGCAAACTCACACAGAAATGCCAATTGACCCAGCTGAGGCTCGAACCAGTGATCCTGTTGCTGTGAGGCGATTGTGCTATCCACTGCGCCACCGTGACACCTTAGGCTTAGACTTTGCATGTTGTCATACTTTCAAGTAACATCCACTCAATTTTTTTATTTTATCTTGTAGTTTGTTCGTTAAACTCGTTTTTTTAAAGTGAAACTTGTGCTTTTGAGCAATGCTTACATAATTTTTCTATTCATATTACTTTTGTTAAATCCTTTAATAAATTACATTAATTATTTTTGTACAATCACATATCACATTATATACTTTACGGTTTTTATTGCAATAACTGTGATTTTTTTTTTTCTGAAATTTTTCTTAGTTTTTTTTAAGTAAAAATGCTTTTCTATTTCCTCTGTCTATTTCATCATAGTTTTATATCACAAATCATAATTATTCTGATTGAGATGTCATATATTTTTATCCTTACATACTTACTTTATAACCACTATATAGCATTATTAGTTTTTATCCCCTTAATTTTTTTTGCAGTAGAGCTAAATTAAAGTCACACTATAAAAACAAAACTTACATTAAAAAGTTTACTTAATCTTTACATGTTTCTCACTGTACATTTTCCCAAAACACAGCATTAATCATAATTCAAAACTAACTTGTCTTAAAGTGTAGGATTTTTTTCTTCCTCCGATTTTTTTCTTACAATATCCTCTTCAGCACCTCTGTCTCCATCCTGTATTGCTGTTCCCCACTGCACACAAGGGTCTCCTCACAGTAAAAAAGCCCCGTTCTGACAGCAGATCCTCACAGCTGTATTGGAGTAAGTGCAATAAGCCTGCTTCGGATCCTCTTTCATGAAGTCTGGAGGCTCCCGGTTCACACTCAACACCCTCTGGAGTTTCCCAAAAGAAGCCCAAGCCTTTCCTCTGCGCTTCACTGCACTTTACAAGGAGACACAAGCTCTTGTTTTGGAGAAACATTCGGCAGAGGAAGATTTCCTGAATGAGTTTTTTTCATTCACATAGAAAATGGTGGTACTTTAAATGCTCCTGATGATGTCCTGTGTGTAATTTGTGTGTGTGTTGATAAATAATAGTGAAAGGCTCAACTGACGTACTTTTGGATAAAATAGGCTTGTTGGTTATATTAATGAATTAATGAAATATATAAATTAATATAAATAAAACCCCACTGGCATGATAATTCAGGGTTCGGTTTAAGCAGGAAAGTACAATTTAAAGCAGAAAACATACATAAGAGACACAACAGATTGTTCTGGTTATTTTATTTTGGGAGGTAAATCAATATATTAATAACTTTTTTTAAATAATAGCAATCATTTATTAATGAAATGTCCTAATATTTATGTTTTACTTTGTCTCATATGATTTATTATTGTTTTAATATATTTTAAATTGCACTAAAGGGAGTTACAAGACAATAAATCTGAATATTAGTTATAAAATTATGAAGCTGAATATTAGCTCATAATAGCTAACAGTTATATATATATGACTTCGACATATTTACCTTATATATTTACCTTATATATATACAGTTGAAGTCAGAACTTTTAGCCCCCTTTTGAATTTTTTTTCTTCTTTTTTTTAATATTTCCCAACTGATGTTTAACAGAGCAAGGACATTTTCACAGTAAGTCTGAGAATATTTTTCTTCTGGAGAAAGTCGTATATGTTTTATTTCGGCTAGAAAATTTTTAATTTTTTAATAAAAAAAAAACATTTTAAGGTCAAAATTATTAGCCCCAGAACTCATTATACAATAACTTGCCTAATTACCCTCACCCGCCTAGTTAACCTAATTAACCTAGTTCGGCCTTTAAATGTCACTTTAAGCTGTATAGAAGTGTGTTGAAAAATATCTAGTCAAATATAATTTACTGTCATCATGGCAAAGATAAAATAAATAAATTATTAGAAATGAGTTATTAAAACTATTATGTTTAGAAATGTGTTGAAAAAAATCTGCTCTTCGTTAAACAGAAATTGGGGAAAAAAATAAACAAGCGCTCTAATAATTCAAGGGGGCTAATAATTCTGACTTCAACTGTGTGTGTGTGTATATATATATACACACACACACACACAACAACAACAACAACAAACATTGGCTGATATAGACTGACAAAGGACACTATAAAGGAAAACAAAAAGGAAAAGAGACTACAAAAAAAAAAAAACATGTTATGTAACAAACAATCAAAACAAGAAACGGTATATAACTTAAACCTCACAGGGGTCACTGGATTGAACTTGAGAAATAAATTTGTCAAATAAATCAAGAAATTAACGCAGAGTAGCCAAAGATTTTCTTATGAAGCCAGTCCTTAAAAATCTGAGTCTCTCCATCTGAATAACAGATATCATGTCAGAAATCCAGTTCTGGCATGAAGGGGCCAAGGGTCAAAGGGGATTTTAGCCACGACCATGCCCTGCATTAAAGACTTTTGCATTGTTTGAGGGAGAGATGTATTTTGTAAGAAGCCAACGTCTGCTAAGCCTTGCAGTACTACGCATATTACAGTTACTCTTACTGGCACAATCAGAAGTGTAAATTTTTTTTTATCAAAGTTGTAAATATACAAAACATTGCTGTATTTTACTTTTTTTGTTCATTCAACAAGAAATAAAATCCTGCTAATAAATATTGAAGAAATATAAGTAGCCTACCTAACATATTTGTAGATTTCACTGTACTTATTAACATGTTTGTTTTATAATTAATTTAAGTTCAACGGAATGGAAATCTTTCAACGGAATGGAAAGATTTTACTGCTGCATCTGACTGAGCAATGAAGTGTTCATTACTCAGATAGACATACAGATAGACATACAGTAATAGTAAAAATGAAAATGAAAACTAAAGTAGGCCTGCAGCACCTACCATGTCATGACACGACTGTTTTTTATGTGTAAAACTTGAAATGAAACACAGAACACGTTTTTGGTATCCAAATACCAAGAAGCTTTTGTCTTATTTTACAATAAGTATATTTAAAAAGAAAACAATGTCAAGCAACGCGATCTGCTTTGTTGTAAATCTCAAACCAACAAAATATCAGTTTTAGGATATAATGGAGAACAAGGTCCATTGCATTTACAATCAAAAATAAACAAATAAACAAACAAATAAATAAATAAACAAACAAACAGACCGAATAAAATGCAGCAAATGTCCAGCAGGTGGCAATAAACATTAGTGTTTTTAATGGAAAACTAATATATTAATGAAATCTCTGGCGTATTAAACCCCCATTGATTAAACCACATACAAAAGCTGAGAAGTATTATTTAAAATTAGATTGCGTGCGTAAATCTATTGAAAATGTAAAAAATTAAAATAAAAAAAAATTGGGCAAAACGAAAACATGAAAAACGTACATTGAAAAATAAATAAAATATAGTAAAAAACACAGGAAATAGGGTAGGAACAAATGGCAATATTTATAAATCTTAATATAAAATATAAAAAAGATAAATAAAAAGTTGGTAATAGTAAGAAAGAAATATGTGACAAATGTTAAAGATGGGGAATTAGAAAAAGTCTATAAAATATATGATATTTTAATGCATGGTGTGTACAAGTAGGAATATATAAATTTGAATTAAAAATGTAGTTAGCAGGAGAAAATAAACAAGACACTAATTAAAGTAATTAAAAAGTTTGAAAGAAATTTGAAAATGGCACGTTTAATTTTTATTTATTTTAGAATGGGCTAAAACTAAACTTCCACCATTTCTATTTCTATGAACTTCCACAAATGGTTCTGTCTATGGAAATATAATATTGGTACATTGTAATAAAATAAATTCATTTTTAAGAAGCATTATGAAAACAAAATAATTTCAAAAATATCGTAAATTAATACTAAATAAACACAATATGAGTTGATTCATGTTGATGGCATTTTTGTTATGGATGCCACAGAGTCCCGCCTACACATGGATCAACAAGAAACTCCGCAAAACATTCGTCCAATCACATCGCCGCTCTCACATCGTTCCTTTCTAACGGCAATTCTCATTGAGTGGATGATGTGTCAGTCACAGTAGCAACGTCCCTTTTCTGGACATCAAACCACAGAGGAAAAACTGCAACAGGGGCTTCACTGAGGGGGCGAAAGTGTAACAAAGCGTTTTCCAGCACCGGTGACTTTATCGCCTTTTCCAATACGGAAGTTGAAAAGAACAACACATTTTCTTGCTTTTCGAGAACTTTTCCCTGTTTGGCGCGGCCGTGCGGGGATGGATGAGATGCGGCCTAGCAGCGGAGCAGCAGCACACCTCGGCCTCGCCTCGATCTTTCCCCCGGGATTGCAGGCCATTTATGGGGAATGCAGACGTCTGTATCCCGACCAGGCGAACCCGCTGCAAGTCACAGCCATTGTGAAGTATTGGTGAGACGCCTGAAACATTCAAATGTCATGTCGTTGCTTGTTATGTGCGCATTAAAGCAGCAAAATAATTGAATATAGCTTGCAGAATAGTTTCACAGATTATAGTTTTCCTTTCTAGCCTGAAAGGAAGAAGTACTTCTAGGCAGAAAACAAATTTTCCAGTGAACCTTTTCTCCATCTCAATATATCACCCTTTTCTCTCAAAATCCTCCTTTCAGGTTAGGTGGTCCAGATCCTCTGGATTACATTAGTATGTACAGAAACGTGGGATGTCCTGGACAAGACGTACCAGAACATTGGCACTATGTCAGCCTGGGTCTCAGTGACTTGTATGGAGACAACAGAGTTCACGAGTAAGAATGTCATATTATAACAGGTCATGACCTTACAGTGTTGTTTTGTTACAACAGGACAGCTAGTCTAGTTCAAGCCATGTTGTTATTTACCTGAAAGTGGAGATCAAACTTAGAAAACAATTCATAAAACACTTCATATTTAAAAAAAAAAAAAAATCAAAAATTTTCTAAATGTAAGACCTTGTGGTTCTAAACCATGATAGTGAAACAGTATTTTTCAAAAGAGCCAAGGCACTTCAACAAAAAAGACCTTTATTTTGAGGAAAACCATGATCAGAACTGGACAGCAAAAATATAATAAACAAGGCTGCAACACCAAAGATCCAAAAATACCAATTTATTAAATGAAGAAGGCTAGCACAATGCATGTAACGTTTTGAGCACATGGTCTTTTCATCAGACTGTATTCATCACAGCATGTTGCTCCTTTTATTCGGGGCATTCTCCCAGAAACCATTTTCACTTATAAAAACGCAACAGGGCCTGACCTACGCTTGTCGTTCTCAAAAAAAAAAAAAAATCATACAAAAACAAACATAAAATCAACTTGAGTGGATAGAACACATCCTTGATCTCCGTCAGCTTCTTATTTATCAAATGATGTCACTTCTGAGTCTTAGCCTTAAAAAAAGTTTTATTCAATTCAATTTAGCTTTATTTGTATAGCGCTTTTACAATGTAGATTGTGTCAAAGCAGCTTCACATAAATGGTCATAGCAACTGGATCAGGGTAGTTCAGTTTTTAGTGTTTAAGTTCAGTTCAGTTTAGCTCAGTTCAGTGTGGTTTGAAGTCATTATTGAGAGTCCAAACACTGAAGAGCAAATTCATCGATGAGTAGCTTTTCAGATCCTGAACCATGCAAGCCAGTGGCGACAGCGGAGAGGGAAAAAAAATTCACCAATAGGAGAGTGAAGAAAAAAACTTTGAGAGAACCAGACTCAGTTCGGCACGACCGTTTTAATGCAAGCATTTTATGTTAAATTTAATGCAAATGTGACAGGACACAGAAACATGTGGACAATTGTAAATTTGTTTGTTATATATTTGTAGCATTTATTTGTAGAACCTATTTATAACTTCATGTTTTTATTAGATCAATCAATGTAAATGATAACAACTTAAACTTATGAAGTATTCATAAGTGAAGTATTGTTCTTCTAAATTGCAGTTTATAGCTAAACAAAACTATTAAAGCTGTAGAAACAACTTGGCTGAGGAGAATGACAATGACAGAGTTTACAATGTAAAGTGTTTTAAATGAAGAAACAAATGAAGACATGTTCCTTTACAGAATTCAACCCCAGAAATCAACCATCACTCCATTTTAGACATTTTTGGGATGAAATACTGTTTATTTACTGCATTTATGTTTTTATTTCTGGGACAGATAATGTATGTTTCTGGTAGAATGTCCCATATACTTCTGGATCAGTTGATCTCATACGTAATCTTACCACAAAAAAATAGAAAAATGCACATTAGTACATTACACAACTTACACATTCAAAATAAAAATACAAAAATAAATCAATCCAAATACAACAAAAAAAGCAACAAAACATAGCCAGAAAACTTTTACCCAAACAACTGAATAAACATTATATAGTATATCATATATAATATATATAAAGTATATCAGATTCCTTATTTAAACCTCTTGGAGACAACCCATCTAGAGTGGAAATCCAAAAGGCTTCATGTTTTAACAGCCATTTATTAAGATCTGACTTATGCAGAGTTCAGACTGCATGATTTCAGCCCCGATTTTGACTCACCCACAGGTTTTGAGCAATCGCAGACAAATTCCTGAAATCACAGGCAAATAGCTGCTCGTTCACGCGAGTAACAATCACACAGTGTGAACTATCCAAGACGCTATCTGAGATAATCGCTGATGAGTCGCCGACACCTGTGAGAAATTTGGCACGCTAAATATCTGGAGCTGTCGCCGATTCAAATCATACCGTGTAAAATGAGTTTCGACTGAAAATAACATCGGCGATTACCGACAATGAGAGAGCAGCATCCACTTGTATGGGTCTCTGCAAGCCAGCAGGACGTTGGGGTAGAACTTAAAATTGCTTCTTCTCAGTCAATTTGGACCCAAGAAATGGGGGAAAAACTAGTGTAAATTTGGCAGGAGCGCTCGAGCTATATAACGATTGGGTCGAAAAAAAAAGTTAAGGAGAATTTGCTAACTCCCTTCAAAGGCCAGAGGCCTCATGTACGAAGACTTGCATTGAAATCATACTAAAACATGGCGTACGGACAAAGCTGTAAATGTGCGCACGCTGTTAAAAATTTAAATGTATGAATTGTAACATAATGTAAGAATCCCACGCATATTCTCTTTGTACATTTGAATTAACGTGAAATTGAGTGCATGAGCAAAAAAAACCTCCCTGCCTCCTCCTCCCCCGTATGAATATGCTAATGACTCTACTTTAGCAAAACCAAATGAAAAAGCAACAGCAAAAGCAAGCAAGAAGAGAAACTTTGAACAGAATGTGAATTGGAGAAGCTCCTTTGGGAGGTACAGCGGAGAAAAACGGTGTTATTTGCAAGTTTGTCCTCGAATTAATAACAAAAAAAAAATAGAGTGGGAGAGTTTAGCTGATGCGGTTAACACAGTAGGGTCTGAACATCGCACTGTGAGTGAATTAAAAAAGATGGTCTAATGTAAAGGTGTAAAATTGTGTAGCGTCAATAGCATTGTGAATGGCGTAGCTCATAAAGCGCATCGCAACATGTTTTGACACGTTCAAGCGTGAACCTGGTTCGAATCCAGCGTCTGATGAACTCATTCTTTTTTCCCCCAACTACATATCACATTTTGCCTACTCTTCATTACGAGGAAGACGAGTAGAAATCATTATCAAGTGTTTGTATTATGTTAGGCACATTTAAGCATAATATATAATTTGCACATTATTGAATGGAAATGTTTCTGACTCAAGGATGCAAATTCGTCTTCAGATGAACGATCTTGTTCCATACATCTGCCATTGCACGGCTCAAAGAAACTTTTTAGTGTGCAATTTAACATAATTGCCTCTAGGAGTCGCCAATGGAAATAAAACAAACACACACAAGAATTGCACATACGCCAGGCATAAAGTTGGCGTGGACCAACGCACAATCTAACGTTCATTTCATCGTTAGTAAATGCAAACATGAGCGTGAATCCTTGCGTACGCATGGTTTTTGTGCGTATGCAGCGTTGATACATGAGGCCCCTGGTGAGCGGAATAGGTACATTTTCTACCCTACTGAGGGCTTCTTTCTCATTGTGTTATAACAAAAGATATTTTATGTTACCTCACATTGTTTTTTGTGTTTGGTTGTAAGCGTCGTAGTTTTCGGGCCAAGACAAAGTTGTTTGGCGATTCTTCTAGTCGATCCTACTTCCTAGTCATGCAGTGTGAAACCCCCTGTTGCCAATTTATCCCACAGTGTAAACAAAGCAGCAATGAAACGCTACCCCAGATAGTCATGCAGTGTAAAAAAAAACATGTGACACGACTACTTTGAAAATCATGCAATCTGAACTCGCCATTAGACAGCAACAATAATTGTGGCATGAAAGATAACAGCGGTTACAAGTCTCTCACAGAACATCACTAGTCCCTCACAGGACATCACTAGTCTCTTATAGGACATCAGTAGTCTCTTACACAGGACATCACTAGTCACTCGCATGACATCAATAGTCTCTTATAGGATGTCAGTAGTCTCTCACAAAAGACATCATTAGTCTCACACAGGATATCACTAGTCTTACACTGGACGTCATTCTCTCTCACAGGACGTCACTGTAGTCCCTCACTACTACACTGCAGTGATTTCATTAGCCATACATTTGTTACCAAGTAGGGGTGTAACGATTTATCGTTGTACAATTTATTGCGATGCAAAAATGTCACAATATACATCGTGGCGTTATGACGATTTGATTACGATATGACGTCCGTTTTCTCTTATTAGTTGAGCTGTTTGCACGTGAGCTACGTTCCACCTGCTGTCGCACGTGAGTTCAGATTGCAGCAGCAGTAATGTTAGCAGACCAAGATGAGTGGAGCTGAAATAGAGGATGGGCCATCCACTCAAAATCAGACGTCTGGCAACATTTCGGTTGTACAGTCATTGCTTTAGACTTGTCCTCTTTTTGACACGCATACTGGGTCAAACATAGCCGAAGTTTTAAAGTCTTCACAGTGATTTACATACTTTGCACAGCGACATGGATACCTTCTAATGGAGTTGAAAGAGTCACATACTGTATTTATAAGGTACAATTCACCCTAAAATATCATCAGCTGACCGTGAGCGGTTACTACAGAGGGCGGATGATAGACGCGCGCGTATGGCAAGCCGTTTTAGCATTTAAACCTTTGTTCTGACTATCCATAAATATATTTAGAGATTTCTCTAATTATATTTTGACTAGTCATAATTATAATTCGACTAGTCAGAATGACAATTAGAGATATCTGCAATTACAATTGTATTAGTACGAAATCAGATTGGAGATATCTGCAAATATATTATGACTAGTCATATTCATCCATTGACTTCCATTGAAAAATATTTGCAGATATCTCTAAATGAGTTTTGACTAGTCACAATTGTAATTAGAGATATCTCTAAATGAATTTAATTAAATATGAATTAAATACCTGGAAATGTGGATTTTTTTTTGCACACACAAAAAACGCAAGTGACCAAGCAAAGCCTTAAGCTCTTACTGTTAAATTCAATTGAATAGAAAGCTTTTTTTTTTTTTTGCACCTTTACTTAAATTGTTCCTTAATTTTGTCTCTGTCATTTCAATAATATTTTTAAGAAGTTTATAAATTGTTTTATTTTCCAGAGACAGACCTGTTTAATTTATTTTCTTCAGTTGTGACGAACAGGTAATAAAGTAAACATTAAGTTTGTGGAACAGAGTGATCGTTCAGGAGCCGCATGGGAAGTATGAACAGCAGTGGAAATAAAACCGAAAACGTACACATTATTTAAACAATCATATCGCATTTTGGAGTTATGATTACGACGAGCATGAACTCTTTTGAGAACAGAGGTCCACAAAAATGCACGTCAACATGACATACTTGATAGCGCCAACATCAGCGACGCCGAAGAAATAGTAAACCTGCCTAAACTGCTGAAAAGAGCCACGACTGTCCTGTGTAATGAAAAGACGACCACCCTGTCACTCATCATGCCCAACACGAAGACAGCCATCCATAAAAACCTCTTAGACAGATACACATCAGTTAATGATTATTTTATAGAACTGCTGATTACCTGGAAATATGGATTTTTTTTGCACACACAAAAAACGCAAGTGACCAAGCAAAGCCTTAAGCTCTTACTGTTATATTCAATTGAATAGAAAGCTTATTTTTTTTGCACCTTTACTTAAATAGTTCCTTAATTTTGTCTCTGTCATTTTAATAATATTTTTAAGAAGTTTTTAAATTGTTTTATTTTCCAGAGACAGGCCTGATAATTTATTTTATTAAAGAAGGTTCAGTTTAACAAGTTGAAACAAAAGAAATACATAAAAAATAGTTTACTTGGTAAAATTTGCATTTCAGTTAAATTTTCAATTATTATTCCAAATATTGTGATCCATATCGAATCGTGAACGTTATATCGTGATACACATCGTATCGTGAGCTGAGTGTATCGTTACACCCCTATTACCAAGTATTTCCTGCTGGATTGTTGCCTATTAAGATTCTATGACTTTTCCTGTCCTCTCCTGCATTTGTTTTTCACAGACAACCAGTTTTTACGGGGACCTTGAATGCGTTAGTGACATTGTAAAGATCGAATATTTTAGAAACCGCAGAGCTATAGACTTTTCTTGCAGTGGCTTAAAGCAGGGGTGCCCAAACTCAGTCCTGGACAGCTGGTGTCCTGCATAGTTCCAACCTCAATCAGGCATACCTGAGCTAGCTACCCAAGCTCATACTTGGCTTTCTAGAAACATCCGTGCAGGTGTGTTGAGGCAAGTTGGAGCTAAAATCTGCAGGACACGGACTCTCCAGTATCGACACCCCTTGCTTAAAAAGTCGTCCCTTTGTACTTCATCTGGATATTCTGCTGTCAGAGGGTTTCTCAGTATGTGTGTCACATGACGTACACTTGAAAAAGAAACTGCTCTTAGCATAACTTTAACTAGGACAAATAAGTGACCTCAAAATTGTGGATGGTGTTCAATAGTTTTGATCTCCACAGTATTTATCTTTAGCTTTAAACAGAATATTGTCTAGTTTTTGCACAAAGAGGTCTGTTTATATATGTGTTCTGCTTCTGTGTAGATTTACAGGTCTAGAAGGCCCAAGTGGTTTTGGTTTTGAGCTCACGTTTCGTCTGAAGAGAGAAGCAGGAGAGACGGCACCCCCAACTTGGCCTGCTGAGCTCATGCAAGGCTTAGCTCGATACGTGTTTCAATCAGGTACTGTACCTGCACCCTCTATGAAGGGGTAGGACTCGTTTTTACAATTCCCTGAAGCTTTAATTCTGTAACCACAAAACAATGCGGCTGTTTTTTTGTTTTAAGTTACTTCCTTTAACAGATTGCCAGTAATGCAGTTGTTTTTAATGGGCTCCTTTAAATGTGGATCTGTTTTCCCCATTAGATATGCTTATAATGGGTTTTCTTTCATCTAGACCACCGTAATTTAGTTTCTTTCTGGCCCTTTCTTAGCTGTTTAAAAGTAAATAAGACATTTATGTCATCATCTTTAAATGAAAGGGTTAGTTCACCCAAAAAATGAAAGTTATCCCTTGATTTACAAACCCTTAAGGTATCTTGGGTGTATATGGCTTGCTTCTTTCAGTTGAATTCAGGTAAGGGTTTTATTAAAAATCATTTAAGTCTGTATTTTTCAGTGTTCAGAGCTTGAAGTTCATGTGCAGTTGAATTAAATACAGAAGTGCAGTGAAGAGAGAAACGAAACACAGTTCTGTGCAGCTAATGGCACTAACTTTACCTAAAGATAAAGACCCCTGAAGCTTGCCAGAAGTTACACAAAATGGTTTGCAATTTTTAAATATGGATATTTTTTCTTGTAAATATGCATGGATTTGCTACAGGAGACCTTTATTCACCCCCTGGAGCCATTTGAGTCAGTATTTATTATGGAAGGATGTACTTTATTGGAATTTTTGCTAAAATTAGCTGACTGGTACCATTGTAGAGCTTGAAAAGCCCAAGATTATTTTTAATATAACTCTAAATGGATTTTACAGAAAGAAGAATGGTATGTACACATACTGTAGAATCCCCTGAGGGTCAGTTAACCATAACATAATTTTCATTTTTGGGTGACCTAACCCTAATGTGACCCTTTTAATGTTCATTATTCAGTCTTGACACTGTTATCGCTGGATATTAAGACTTGCTTGTCCTAATATAACGCAAAACATATAATTAATATAATTATAAGTTTCTAAATTACTGAAACGTAGCCTTTAAAAAGAAAAATCACATTCATTTTCTACTATGGGGTGGGCATTTTGTATTGCTTTATTTTGATGGTCTCTTTAACGCATTTTGTTCAAGTAGTTTTAATTTTAATTATTAAGTAATAGAATTTAAGTAGACTTTTAGGTTGGGGTTAGTGTAAGTTTCTTAAAGTCAGTTAAATGTCTGTTGAAAGAGCAGGATCAACAGATATTAAGCTGACAGTCTACTAATACTTAAATGAGAATTTATTGGCATGTACTGTAGTTGCAATGCAACTTTTGGTCAACAAAATGTACAATAGGGACCATCAAAATAAAGTCTTACTGGGCATTATTTTAGATGTGTAGTGCATTTTCCATAGATGGCATCAAACGGTTACCTGTTACTATTTTTATGGCTATGAGTAAAATACTGATGCATGTCGATGTTCACAGGGTTCCCATGCTTCTTAAAAGTACTTGAATTTCAGACCTATGAATTCAAGGCCTTGAAAGTGCTTAAAAACAAACATAAGTCCTTGTCAGTGCTTGACTTTAAAGTTTATGGTGTTATTTTAACAATTGTACGGTTCTGCTTTCAAAAACTGAATAAAAAGTACATGAAAAATTAATAAAAAATTTATTAAAAATGTATTTAAAATTTCAAATTTAAATCTAATGCAAGAACTATGACTATGGAACAAAATCAATGCCTAAAGTCTTGAATTAAAAAGCTTGTTGAATATCACAAACTGAAAAAAATAATACACCGTATTAACAAGTTCTTGCATTTTAATGACTTGAATTCCAGGGTTTGTATTTTTAGGTCCTGAAATTTAACATATCTGTACATTTAAGCTTTGAATATTTCAACGAAAAATATTTCAAACACGTTTTCATACTTAAAAATTCAATAATTCATATTCAATTTTCAGATTTCACTTACAAAATATTCAATACCCTTTAAAAATACGATGTATAATATTCAAAAGGTAATTTTCAGTTCATTTTATTTCAGTTCAAATATTCGCTTCCATAAATTCAGTGGATCAAATTCGACTGTTAAAATTCAACATTTCATCCGGGAACTGCAGGAAAAGCAATAGATTGCAGATTGAAGATCGCAGGCTGCCCTAGCTTTCACCAGCAGGTGGAGATGGAATGTAAGATTTTTAACCCAGTAAACAGGCGAGAAAAAAAGGCTATTAAAGGCACAAAGTAGCATTTAATATTAATATCAATGCTTTGGACATTATAAATGATAAAAAGTATGAGTAAAATGAGTAAATGAGGTTTTAGTCATCTATATTTGCCCTTATGTAACGGAAGCCAGCTGGTGATCGCGTAAATCTCAGTTCTCGGATCCAGTGACAGACGTTGTTCTGCAATCTTATCGGAGCTTGTCTCCCATGCCGGCTCGCTCTCTGCTCGGACCGGTGCAGTTACTTGCACATAAACCGTCTTTTGATGAATATGATGTTATACATTGTCTATCTTTATTGACTCTTTCTTCCATAGACGCGAAGTATTATATTGACAGCTAAAGAATATAAACGTAAAAGAAACAGGAAAGGAAATATTATAATAATACAAAATAGATAAACATTGACAGGGCTAAGAACAATTACGAACAAAGATTTTCAAAACCAGAGAGATTTTATGAGAATTTCACACAAAACAGTTTACTTGGACTGTTAAACAGTGTTCTGGGGTCCGTTCTTCGTACCTCGCTTCAATGATCTAAGATTATTTGGCAGATCCTGGATCTTTTAATCTTGATAACTGATCTCTCGCTAATTTGGTTCTTCAAACAAGTTCGCGAATTAGATTAGAATGTCTGGATGAACTGATCTGAGATCGCTGCGTGTGTTGTGAAGGACAGATCTATCGATCCTCGAAATCATGATCAGCAATGCAATGATTGGCTGACGGCACTGCAGCGTAATGACATCATCTGCAGTATTTTTAAAGGGTATTGAATATTTTGTAAGTGAAATCTGAAAATTGAATATGAATTATTGAATTTTTAAGTATGAAAACGTGTTTGAAATATTTTTCGTTGAAATATTCAAAGCTTAAATGTACAGATATGTTAAATTTCAGGACCTAAAAATACAAACCCTGGAATTCAAGTCATTAAAATGCAAGAACTTGTTAATACGGTGTATTATTTTTTTCAGTTTGTGATATTCAACAAGCTTTTTAATTCAAGACTTTAGGCATTGATTTTGTTCCATATATGACAAATAATGCACATTTTATCAATATTTCAGGAATCGTATTTGAATATTACCAGTATTTTATATAAGGTATTGTATTAAAGTTCTTTGAATGAAGGTCTACATTTTTGAAAATGTCGCATTCAAAACATCATTACTGACATTTAATGTAAATATTAGGTGTAAATGAAATGTTAAGTACAATAAGGACTTTAATGGCAAAGGTGCTTGGTTTAAAATGATTGAAATTACTTGAATTTGTTGTCCGTGAAAGAGTGGTACCTTTGTGTTACAAAACAACACGACTAAAGCTTTGCAATTTTTTAGAAATCTATAGAAATGTGTGAACACAATGTGTATGTACACGGTAGCCTGTTATTGTTACATTTTTAGTATTTCAGCATTCTAAAAACGTTCCAAAATGATTTAAGGAACAATTTAGTCTGGAGTTTTAAAGGGTAGCATTTTAGCCAAAATAATAATGGTGTTAGTTATGACAGCGATTAATTCATAATGACGATAATTATAAAAATGTATAAATAAAATGCATGTAAAATGATTCATTTATTGTTGTGCACGTATTGTATTTATTTAAAATGCATTGTATGCATATAGAGGGAGAAAAACCAATACAATGAAATAAAAGAAACCTGCATATGCAATAATAGAGGCCTGCTATGAATGCAGAAAATTCAGTTGCAAATCATATGAGGAGCATGTGAAATCACATGTACAGACTTTATTTAGTGTACATACTTCGATTAAAGGGATAAAGCAATATTCCGCTATACTTTAGATTTGCTTTATATTCCCACAGCGGTTGACTATCTATATTATATTTATACCTTTATTAGATCTTAAAATAAACTGAAATATATTGTTCTCTTGAAAGTATGCAGAAAGAAAGAACACTCACGCAGGGTTTTCCTTCTAACAGAAAACACATTCTGCAGCGGCGATCACATTTCGTGGCACAGTCCATTGGACAACAGCGAGTCTCGAATCCAGCACATGCTTCTCACAGAGGACCCTCAGATGCACCCAGTGCAGACCCCCTTCGGCCACGTCTCCTTCCTTCAGGTCAGCATTTTCAATAAGGATAATATATTTTTACTTTTGTCCACTCAATTGAAGGCCTGTCCACATAGCTCAGGGGTCGGCAACCCAAAATGTTGAAAGAGCCATACTGGACCCAAAAAACCCAAAAACAAATATGTCTGGAGCCGCAAAAAATTAAAAGCCTTATATAAGCCTTATAATGAAGGCAACACATGCTGTATGTATTTATATTAGCTATATTAGCCTACTATAAAAATGATTTAGTTGGCTACAAATACATACTGAGCCTTCATGATTAAATGTTTTTTTTTCCCCTGCAGTGCATCCTGTAGAGAATGACGCACCACGTGACTACTCTGTTGTACGATGCCGTCTCAAGTTTAACTTAATTACAATATTAATGAATTATGTTTAATGTTCGAGTTTAACTTCATTACAATATTAATGCATCATGTTTTGCTTTGATGAAATTAAAGAAATGCAGTAAAGAAATCAGATTTTTGATGTTTTTTATTTTGAGGATTCCAAAAAACAACATCAAAATGAACGTGCCCCTTACTGGGAATGTGCTCAATAAGGAAGAGTCAATCTCCAGGGGTGTGTGACAAGGAAAGACAGTCTCGTTTTTTCCTTTCGCCACTCGCAAAATCTGCTCCCAAATGCAGTTTGCATATCAACGATCGCACCTTGTAAATAATCACCGTTGAGTGAGTGATCGGGATGGGCTTCTTTGAATTATCTCAGGGAGGGAAAATGAGAGAGCGTGCCCCGCTGTACATCTTTGGCAAAGACAGCTTACGCTCCATGGCGCATCACACAGCCGCCGGATAGTTTACAACAGCCACCTGCCTATTCCGTGTGTCGCAGGCTATGACGCAAATCTTCGTTGACCAGAAATGTTGAAAATAAATATTCTACACACTTTTACAGCATTGGAAAACGTTAAGATTGTTTGTCCTCCTATAGAAACCATATTAAAACAAAAATATATTTACCTCCCCCATCTTTTTCCGTTTTCAAACATTTTTTGAAAAAGCTCCAGGGAGCCACTGGGGCAGCGCTAAAGAGCCGCATGCGGCTCTAGAGCCGCGGGTTGCCGACCCCTGACATAGCTGGTTATATTCAATGTTTTCTTATGGAATTCAGCAAATGATTCATTGCGTAACATGCATTTGTAAATTCATGGATGGAAAAAATGAATGAATTCATTTAAATAAGTATACAAAATCATTAAAATACCAAAAGCTTAGTCCAGATATATGGAACCAGATTAGTCTCAAAAGAAACTCACACAAAAGACACGATGTACACATGCGTAGCCAAATTCACGTGCATAAAACCAAATTCACGTGCGTAAAATTTATTTATATTCACAAAAAATTTTCAGGTGCACAAAATAAAAATACATTTTCTTAAAATACGTTTCACAAATGCAAAACACGATTTGCAAATGTATCAGTGTACAAAAAGTTTTGAATGTTTAAAACTTGCGAGTTCATCCTGAATGAGAATGTGCAAATCCTCTTTCACGTACGACTCCCCCTGGATACGTGTGTGTGTATTTTTGAGACTTTCCTGCCAGAGTCAGGACTACTCGTACCTTTCAGCCAATCAGATGAGAGCTGTATTCAATGAAATCAACTCTGCGCTTCTTTTGCGCAGACTGTTCCTCTCCAGCATGGCGAACGGAGAAAGCAGCAGTCACACTTTTTTAAAATTTATTTATTTTTTTATTTGACCATATCCTCACTCTTTTTATCCATTATTTTGCTGCTGCTCCGCTTTTTTTATTTATTGTCTCGCAGCCCCATGAGCACCATGTATCCTGCAGGGTAATGTTAAGAATCATTCCGGCCGCTTCAATATTGCAGCGCCATTGTGGTCCAGTGATTAGCACGTTGGGTTACCATGCCCTTAGACCCGTGTTCGAACCTCACCTAAGATGATATCTTTTTTTTTTTTCATTTTTATTGTTAAGACATATAAAACTGTAAGGTTGTTGAACATTTGAAGTTCTAAAGCAGCTGTTTTCTTGAAAAAGACGTGGTAGTGTCATTAGCAACTGAATGAAACTGAAAAAAAAAGATCCTCACCTGAGTAAATATCTTTTTTTTCAGTTTCATTCAGTTTCATTTTTATGTATTTATATATTATTATCTGTCAGCCATGAACACAATAAAACATTTTTAATTGATATGGGCAGAGATGAACCCATGTTGTTGTAGCTAAATGAGGCTTAACAATTGTTGAGAACCTCTTAATACCATTGGTTCTGGTTCAGCATGTATCTACAAAAAATCTGATAAAAAATCTAGGTTCAATTTCTGATGTTACGTTTATTAACCTTGTCCTTGTCCATGTGCGTGTCTCCTTGTGACGCATGTAAATGAAGTTTTTTTTTTCCTTCTGTGCTCATTAGATCGTGGGTGTTTGCACAGAGGAGCTGCAGGCAGCGCAGCAGTGGAACGGTCAAGGCATTCTGGACCTGCTGAGAGGAGTGCACATGTGAGTAATCCCACAGCCAGACACGAGACGGGCCAAGGACACGCTCCTGCTCAACTGGTTAAAGAAACTGCAGGACTAATTTAACCAGCTGAGAAACTAAATTAATGCCCTTGATGTATTACTTTGTCTCTCTCTCTCTCTCTCTCTCTCTCTCTCTCTCTCTCTCTCTCTCTCTCTCTCTCTCTCTCTCTCTCTCTCTCTCTCTCTCTCTCTCTCTCTCTCTCTCTCTCTCTCTCTCTCTCTCTCTCTCCTGGCTTGAAATGCATTTATGGATCCATGAAGTAGGAAGATTTGCTATGGATACATTGAAAAATACATCATTAGTATTGGCAGGCTTGGTAAATATACTGTAAGCAAAGCAGGCTGTGAAAAAAATGTGTGTTTTGTTTAACTTATTGGTCAAAAAAAACTAACTTTTTTTTTTTAAAAGTGTTGAGCTCCAAAAAGTGGGAAGCAACTATAAGAAAATGCCCATTTTAAACATCAGGGCAAGTTGAGATTTATTGTCATTTCACTACATGTGTGGACATAAAGGAGCAAAATGTCATGTCTCACAGGACCACATATAAAATAAATACTTAACTATACATATAACCTTATACCGAACAATGTTTTGCAAAAGAGGTATTTGTGGTTGAAGAAAACTAGTAGTGAAAAAACACAATTTGTGGGACATTCACAAGTAAACATTGAACATGAAAGAGTTAAAGAAAAGAGTGCCCAGTGTAGATAGTCCTTTTTCTTAGAACGCAAAACTACCCATTATGCTTTGCGTGCATGTAAGGAGGATGCTTCGTCAGCAGCTTGATGCATATGAACAGTCACATTTGGACAGCTTTGAAACTGTATTTTAGATCTATTTACTTGCTCTTAACGTCTTTGAACTAATACTGATGTCTATCAGCGCCACCTCCAGGACTGATTATTTAAAAAATGCTATCTAATGGGAATGAAAAAACAACATCTGCAAGTTACTTATTCTTACCCTTTTAGAAGGCATCTTGTGCCATTTAAATGGAGCCTTGTCATCACAGATTTTTCAAATATGTAACCAACCCAAATAAGTGTAATTCACCAAAATGTTTGACACACACGTTTGGTCCCACTAACACATTGAATAAGTGGCACAAAGTGAAAATAAAATGGCATTTTGAAATGACAGAAAAACGCATGATGTGGTAGATACTACACAACACAAACCAGTTAAATGAAACCGGAACGGCTCGCAGTTCTAATCAACATGCAATTTTTTGGAAATTTTTCATGCCAGTAATATAGTTTGCTCTATAATGCAGTGATATATTGCGTATATGTGTGTGTGTGTGTGTGTGTGTGTGTATGTGTGCGCGCTTTGAAGAGCTGCTTAGTACAGTATAACAGCTGACAATTCAAGAACACTGACGCTGTATTTCAGCATCTTATCTGATTTACTAGATATATTGTATGACAAACTTGCTTTATTTACCAAATAAAGTAAATCTAATTGGATTTGCATTTTAAACAGGTGGTTTGTCAAGTCCACTCACCTTTACGAGGCAAACTCAGAATTGAATAATGGTTTTATAGGGATGTGGAGTGATTTTAAGAAAGTGTCTGGAAATATGTCGGATATGAAAGAGTGAGTTTTCTACAGTTGGTTTGTCAAGCCCACTCACCTGTGTTAGGCAGACTCAGAATAGCATAATGTTTTGAGGCATTTAGAAAAGCAATTCATTTACTCATCCTTGTTTCATACCAGTTAGATTTTTTCGGTTTTGTTTTACAAAAGATTTAATAAAGAATGTTGGAAACTGTAAACCATTGACTTTTATAGTGTTTGTTTGTTTTTACTATGGTAGTCAGTGGTTGCAACTTTCCAGCATTCTTCAGTATATCTTTTGTGTTTAACAGATAAAAACCAGCAACCGCAGACTGCTTTGGACAAGTAAATGATGAATTTTCATTTTTGCGTGAACTATCCCTTTAAGAATTTCCAGTAATCAGCCTGGAGGAGGAGGTGTGTTTCGTCCCAATGCACAGTCAGGAGGAGGGTATGAAAGACCAAAAATATCTCCAAAGATTCACAGCTGGAGAATTGCAGAAGTTATTTGGTTGACTCAAGATTGACTATTTGATGTAACCTACATCACCACAAATAATTTGAAATGGCTTTAAGAAAAAGCTTCTGCTTTCATCCAAAACCAACTCAAATGTCTTCATTTTTTATTACTATTTTTTAGCAAAAGATTAAAAGGTTGAACAACACACAGCTTTTTTTGCTTATATTTACAAAGGTTGTTCAATTCAGTCTAGGGCACTGCATCTGTCTCTTACTACATTTATTTTTTCCTTTTGTGCTGGGGCATTGTGGGAATTGCAGATAAGAGTAGTGGATTTTGAATGCTGTTGCTTTATAGAAGGCACGAGGGAGCTCAAATTGGCTGGGATGCTTTGTGCTGTTCTTATTTTTCATTATTCAGAAATGAAGTTTGATTTCTCTTCTGTTTTGTTTGCAGTGCTGGAGGTCCATGGTTAATCACTGACATGAGAAGAGGAGAATCCATATTTGACATTGATCCACATTTGCAAGTAAGGATTTTTGTAGTGTGCATGGTGCTAAAAGAATAGCTTATCCACAGATAAAAATACTTATAATGGTGTTCCTAAGCTTACAGCCCTATGATTTTCATAGTGCATAAAATGTTGGTGGAATTCAGTCATAAAAACAGAGTTGGCCGAAAGGGGCCGTTCACATTTCACATCTAAAACTGCATGGAAAAGGTGAGGCTTCTTGTTTCTTGCATTTTAATGCGCTTCTGAATCACTTCATAAGCATTTTGTTATTATTATAGTTTATCATTATATTATGTAAAAAAATAAAATAGCCAGCGTCTTTGTTTCTGAATAAAAGTTTGGTTTAACTTAAATGTAATTTTGACAGAGATAGAGTACATTCTACTGGACAAGGGTAATCTATCACCACTACTACTGCTACTTCTACCACTACTACTAATATTAGTAACTTTTTAAAGAAAAAAACTAAGCTTTTTCAGTATTACCTTGTTTAAATTTTCTAAAAAAATATTTTTATTGAATATTTATTGACAAACAACAAAAACAACAGCAAAAAGCCAATCGAAAACAAATTTAAACTGGAGTGAAAATGCCGGTAAGCATAATGCCAATAAAAGAGAAAACGGTAAACAAAAAATAACTGTGCGCAAGCATTGTTTTACACGTATAACCATGACTGCACATCTGCAGCGCCATCACCCAGCAATATCACTGTCTGTAGGCAGGATAGCAGAGAAGGTAATAAAGTCCTCCAAATAGCAACAATCCCTCGGTGAATCTACCCAACTGGTTCCAAGAGACGCATAAAAATAACTAAGGCAGTGCGGGTGTTTGTTGCTTAAGATTTGCAGCCGTTTTCGGTGATTGGAGATGTGGGCTTTTGTCATTTTATAAAAGCACTCGATCCGCGTTACAGACTACAGTCTCACATTTTTTCAGCACCGAGATAATTAGGATGGTTTATTTATGATTACTTAAGTTCAAATATGTTTATTTAAAACGACCAATTTATCCTTATTTAATTCACATGTATGTTTATTTTCTAAATGTAGGATTCCCCAGTTTGTACATGGGCTACCAGCAGCTGTGAGATTTTAGTGTTAATTTTTTTTATACAATGCATTAGGAACTAGTGTACTTTTCTTGGCTTTTAAGTAAAACAAAATAAGTATTGCAATAAACTGTTTATATTTTTTTCTCCCTTACCTCTTACTGTCCCTATTGCCTATTGAATAATAAAAACACACACGTGTCAAGCCATGAGAACCGAACCAAAAAACGTGTTAAAAAACTGAGGTATGTATTGAACCGTGAGCTAACTGTATTGTTGCATCCCTACTGTGCACTTAATTCTGCTCAAACCATTTAAGTCGCCTCCATTTTCCACGTGAGTGAAATTATTATATGCTTGTATATTCCATATCTATAAATGTGTTTGTTTATATAGGATAATTTATCATTTATAATTATCTTTAGAACTTGCACTCCAGAATCTGATTGATAACCAAACGCATGTGGTCAGAACACAAACGTGTCGCAGGTATAATGAAGTGTTTAACGTTTCTCCTAATGAAAAAACTGTCTAAGCAAAATGCTAGCATGCGTCTGTAGCACCGCCATTTTTGCCCTTTTTGGTATCCCCACGCTTGGTGGCATGACGCGCGAGCAAAATGGCTTTGATTGGCCATGCCCACTTGTAGCTTTGTTTGCGCTCTTCAGAAACCCATGGGTGAGGTCACGGATACTACATCCATATTGTTTACAGTCTATGGTGTGTCTGCGAGAGCAACAGGTCAGTGCTGAGCTCAGTAATATTCATGACATGATCCATATATGGTCAGTTATAGACCTTCTGATTCTAGGGCTATTTTATGGATCAATACATGAGAATAATATATATATATATATATTAAATTTACTGACGTCATAAACCTGCTATGTAGATATCAGAGAATAATTTTAACTTATTAAGCTAATGCAGTATTTGCATTCTTTAAGTTAAATATTGGATATTTAATTTGTTTTGCAATTTACACTACTTATGTACTTTAAACAAAGTTTCAAATGTTCACTTTAGGGTTGAGAGTATAGCCTGTTTAGATATAGTGCCTCATCCAAGCTAAAATGGTCTTGTCCTTGAAATATTTGCCACCTTTACTCCCTTAACACAGTTTACATCTCGCAAGTAACACACAATTTTAATTCCTGGTGATTTAAAGGGATAGTTCACCCAAAAATGAAAATATACTCACACTGTGCACACTCACACAGTGAAGCTTCAGCATTGAAAAGGTGGATTTGTAATTAAGTCTGGCCTCTTAAACTGGACCCCTCCACCTGCTGTTAGTCCTCTGCTCTATACACTGAGACGGACACATGTCCAGCCACGCTTCTCCCCTGCTGATATGTGCGTGTGTTGATTGCTCATCCAAAGCAGGAACGAGTGGATAAGGGCATCGAGACGGATGGCTCTAACCTGAGTGGGGTGAGTGCCAAGTGTGCTTGGGATGACTTGAGCAGACCTCCCGAGGACGAGGACGACAGCAGGAGCATTTGCATTGGGGCACAGCCACGCAGACTGTCGGACAAAGGTGAGGCATGCTAAGGACAAATGCAATTTAAGAACGGCTCAACAAACCAGCTTGATTAAAATACAGTGTCTCAAGCAGGGATTTTGTTTTTCTGTATCAATATAGATTTATGCACAAACTGAAAATCGCAAATACTATTCTTAAAGGGATGTAAAATAGACAAAATAGTAAAAAATAGAAAATCCCTCCACTTATTCTACAATATACATACAATATTGTATATATTCTAGTATGCCTGTACAGTTGTTGCTCGTTAATTGCAGGAGTTACGTTCTAAAAATGGCCTGCAATAGGTGAAATCTGTGAAGTATTCCGCTTTACTCTTCACAATTATTATAGATGTTTTAAAGGAGCAGTAAGGCATCTGCCTAAATGCTAACAGTTAGCATAATATCTTTTAAATACAGTCCCTCTCCTGCTGTCCAAAGCTACGCCTCCTGAAATCATGAGTGTGCACTTTAAAGATGACAGAAACCCATTAGATCATGTCATTCGCCAGTTAGAAAACCTTATAGTACTTTATAATACTACAATTCTGAATGAAAAACTGTATATCTTGCACGTTTTCTGTTGTTACGAACCCTTTTTTTTTATCAACACAAAATAATTCATAAAGGGAACGCAACATAAAGAGGACACATGAACTAAGTTGTCTAAATTAATAAATTTATTACAACCAAAACAATCAAAGAAATTATGTGTCACAACTAAATAAGAATGAATAAAGAATCAATAACTCACGTTCTCCAACACATTTATAACCCTAACCAAAGACTAAACAACCCAACAATTAACAAACTAGATCAAAGTAAGACTTAAAGAAAACAAAACAGTAAATTAAAGAAAATAAAAGAAGCTTGATGCCTGGCTGTGAAGTCTCCTTTCTCTCCGCTCAATGTTGGTCTGTATTTATAGCCAATTTCAATAAGCACAACTCGCCACAGGTGTGCAAAGGAGGACTCTAGAAAAAAACAGTGAGTGACGGCAAGCACAGAGACAGGCACAACAGAGACAGGCATCAGCCGTAACATCTGTTGTGTAGTTAGCAAGTAAAACTTGTCATAATGTGTAATATTTCATGCATGTAGGATCGCTGATCTCACTCTCTCACACGATTTGTCCTAAAGTAACTACTGTATGCGTAGTGACTGGCCAGCGAGGGTGCAGGATTTACACTTATTACGCTATTTACTGATGTTTTAATATTAACCTAAAAAAAATTTGCGACAATATCGATGCTGTTAAAGGGATCTCATGAAACTGAAAATAGTCACATCAATCTTTCGCCAGAAGATTTCTGTGGCTGAACAACAATTCTGTGCATATAACCCATTTGTAGCACAACACAATCTGCATCAGCTTTGCGTGACTAAAATAGTTTTAAGCAAAGAAATCCTCAAGTACTTTTTTGAAATTTTAACAGATTTGTGTGTGTTGAGCATCAGTTAAGGCAATGTTAGCACCCGTTAGCCTTAATTGTGGGAAAAAAATAGCTAATTTTGAGTTACTGTCAGCTAATTTCATCTTCCAGGTTAAAAATTATTTTTGGGGCGGGATCAAAATCAGCGATGTAGCGCAGAACTGCAAAGATGACACGTTGGCTTCTCATTATTATTCATAGCGGAGTTTTCTTATTCTATAAGAAAAGCCGGCTTCTTAATTATTCATGACTGCGCATGCCTTCCGAAGGCAAGACAGACCTGCCAGTCCCAAGCTGTAAGACCCTATGTTGATGACTGGGTGAGACCTCGTCCAAGGACCCACGGCACACAGTATTTAGCTGTTCATGAAGGGTCGTATGTGTTTGTTTCCATGATCCACGTGGTTTATTGCATGTTTTTCCCCACAATCCTGTCAGGGCCGATACAGCAAAGCTGTTTGTGTTTGCAGCAAGCATTTTTGTCGGGAGAGCAGTACGAAAATTGGAGAATGGCGGACGTTGTCTTTTATCTGGAGTTTGTTCATATTTAGACACATCGCCGTGCTGCTGTGTTTGCCTAAATCCTCCAGATTACCAACAGGGCTAATGGTTGAAATAGGCAGGGGAAGAGACCTGCTGCACTGAGTCTGCATTCAGACCAGGGGATTGAGGGATTATCTTTATAATGATATAACTTGTGGTTATGTGTATATGAAATAACAAATAACAAATGTAGCACGACATTAAATTACTGTTAATTTCTTTGTATTTTAACTTTGTAAACTATAATATCATGCATCTCCTCATGGTTTGTGTCTCATTTTGTGAGCCGACTGATAACAGTTGTTCGCTCCCCTCCTTCTCCCCTGCTCTGCTGGCCACGCCCACTCCTGCCTCTGATCGTGAAGCTCCACGCCCATCATGATGCTTTTTTTTTTTTTTTTTAATTTGTGAAAAGCAGGGGGTGTCATGGCCCTTTAAAACATAACAAAACAAAGTGGGGGGTGTCATGGTCCTTTAAAACAGAACATTGCCCGTCTAAAAGAAATACTTCAACCATGGTGTCTCCAATATTGATTCAGGATTGTCAAGTTTTGATTCAGCGTTTGTTTTTACTGGTGTCACGTACACACCCCAATGGTGGATCTGTGTGAACGAGTGGCAGATGTACAAATCTATATTTTTTTTACAGATTTGGGCAACAAATTTTAATTGGATGAACATTTTTTTGGTCTTATACCTTACCCAGAGTATAAAAATACATATAAACACATTTAGGTCATATACTTTAATCAATTACTGTTGGACTGTGAAGAGACTTTCAACCAGCACAACAAAAATGTCTCTGAAGACAATCACCTACTGCACCTTTAAGGCTGTTAAACCCCTCAGATAGGCATTAACATTTTCACACTTCTCTTTCTTTAAATAAACACTCGCATAACTTTCTTCTTTTAGTATGTCCAGAAGTTCTTTCCAGAATGTTGTTGTGATGTTAGCGTCTTCCTCTGCCTTTTTGGTGCTATCGCAGGTGCCTTTGATGGTGCAGAATGTTTTGTCGACATTATGTGGTTTGTTGGGGAGTAAACTTTCAAACATACAGGACAGCACTTCAGAGGTAATTTGGCAAGCTGAACGCATTCTGTACTGTACAGGAGACATGAAACAGAGCAGATTGATTGACAATAGTCTACAGCCAATCAGTGCTCTAATGCGCTAATCAGGATACACAACACAATGCACTGTAAAAAAAAAAAAATCGAGACCGTGAAAAGTGGACTGCGTTATGGCGAGGGATCACTGTACATACTTTCGTCAATTTGTATGTTTTGTATTTTATATTTACTTATTTTTAAAATTCCTTTATTATTTGTTGTTATTTTAGTTTGTTTCTTGTCACTGTCATTTTGTGGAAACATCTGTCATGACAACAAAATTCCTCGTATGTGTAAACATTCCAATAAAGCTCTTTCTGATTCTGGTTCTAAACCTATTTGAGTTTCTTTTTGTTGTTGAATGCATAAGAAGATCTTTTTAACAATGTTGGGAAGCCTTCAATAGCATTTTTAATGAATGTCAGTGGCTGCTTTTTACAACACTGTTCAGAATATCTTGTTGTGTTTTCAATAAAAGAAAGAAATTCATTAAAATTTAGAACCACTTGAATGAGTAAACGGTGAAGATTTTTGGGTGAGCTATCCCTTTAAATATGGATTATTGCTGACAATACTGTACAAGATGGCGGTGCCCTTATATTAACATCAGAATAAGACAGTTCTAACTTATTAAAGTAAACAATGTTTCGGCAAATATTAAATGCTAAAAACTTTAAATAAAAGAAGAACATTTGCTTGTCAGATTTGAGCTAATTATAACAGGTGGCCGAGTGTGAAAGTTATTTTTAAAACAGTAGTTGTTTGTCTATAGTATTTAGCCTCCCTCCAGGGTTTACTTATGTTAAATATTTGTATTATTAGCATTACAGACTATTTTGCTGAATAAACGAATTGCAGTTGTATCTGAAAATCGTATGCTAATATATGTTTACAATAATTTTCTATCATTATAATTCTGTTATGAATATTAGCACTTTTATTATTTACTATTATTATTTTGTCGTTTTATTTGCATGTAAGTGGGACTTAATTAAGGGTGTTGGTTAGTAGGTTTCAACCATCTTTCTTTCTTTGTTCTCAAGTATCTGTGTTGTTCCAACAGACACCGAACAGATTAGAGAAGCCCTGAGGAAAGGACTGGAGATTAAGAGCAAGTCTATCCTGCCTCCCATCAGCGGTCAGAGGCACAGTCATGACCGGCCACAGTAAGTCCTGACATCCATGACAGTCAGTTGATGACAAAAGCGTCTGATTATACTACAAGCAGATGTGGGGTTTACTCAGTCCTGTGGCCTTAATTCTGGAAGTAGCAGGCTGAAGAGTTCGCCTTAGGACACTGAACTGCTTTGGTTTGCTATGCCACCTGTTTGAGACTGGATGGCATCATTGTGGTTCGTGGCTAAGAGACAGAGTGGGTGCTATAAAAATAGTGTGCAAAATGTCACCAGGATTCCTAAATCTCTTTTTATTCTATGCTTTTTTTGATTTGTGAACAAAAATTCATTAAACCCTATTAGTAGTGTACCTCTACTAGCAATAACTGATAGTGGAGCATGAATGAAACAATGGTCTTGTCCACTTTTTGCACAATATTTTTATTAAGATGTAACAAAAATATGACAATATAATACAACACAATTATATTTACAGTTTTTCATTTAAGGAGAAAACCAACAACAGCCAAAAAATAAAATTAAAATAAACAACAACAGCAGTTGTTAAAATGAACAATAAACTTGATTGTACACACTGATGGGATATCAAACTAACTGAACCTAATACTAAAATGTATAAAATTTCAAAACCATTTTTAGGTATAAAGTCTGAAATAACTGAAATATTGTGTCTTAAATAATTTTAAATAGGTCTTAATTTCCCTGTGTCCAAGTAATGCTAGATCAACACCCAATCACCTATAATCCATCACAAAACTTTTTTTTTTTGTAGTAATTAAGATTTTCATAGAAAAAAGATACAATTCACAACAGCTGTTTGACATTTTACAGCAAATTCTCCAAGTTAAATCCCCAAATCAGGTAAAGAAAACTAAAGCAAGACATCCCTTTACATGATCTTTCATTAGTACAACAACTAGAAACTGAAGTAACATTTAAAAAATCCTAAGTGTTTAGCCCTGTATAGGTCTAAAATTTCATTCATAATGGTGTTTAAAGTCTTACATTTGATTTGAAGAAACATGCAGAAGCGATCATGTGACAACCTATTTCATTAACATTTAAGCAGAAATGTTGTAAATGTGCGACAACTAATTTCATTAATCTTTAAACAGAAATGTTGTAAATGGCTAGTATAACAAATCCTAGAAAACAATCTGTAGGATATCCATTTAAAATTGTCTATTTTAAATCTCATTTAAAATTTCTTACTGTATGCTGCTGAAAAAAAGAGGCTGTGTAGATGCAGCGTCTTGCATTATGGTGAATGGGCGTTATACTTATGCCTTGGTCAGCTTTAGTCAATATAGAGACATGTTTATTATAAACTGATTTACTAGGCAGCAAACCAATAAGATCAACATGTACTTACTTAAACAAGCTTCTGTATGGAAAGTGCATGTACACATGACTGACAGTAAAATCTAAAAAGACAAAGACTGACGTGTAGTGGCAGCAGCTATACAATATGTACAGGCATTATATTTTGTAAGAATATTGATGTGGGATTTGTTGCTAAAAGGATAGTTCACCCAAAAATGAAAATTGTCCTTCTTTACCAACCCTCCATTGTTTGAGTTTCTTTATTTCGTTGAATTCAAAATAATATATTTTGAAGAATGTTGGAGAACAGCAGTATTGACTTTCGTTGTGTGTGTGTGTGTGTGTGTGTGTGTGTGTGTGTATATATATATATATATATATATATATAAATATATATATATATATATATAAATATATATATATATATATATATATATATATATATATATATATATATATATATATATATATATATATATATATATATAGAGAGAGAGAGAGAGAGAGAGAGAGAGAGAGAGAGAGAGAGAGAGAGAGAGAGAGAGAGAGAGAGAGAGAGAGAGAGAGAGAGAGAGAGAGAGAGAGAGAGAGAGAGGACTCCCCTTCTTGTGACAAACAGGCACATGCCAAGGAAAAAACAAAAGTTGGATCCAAGATGGCCGACATCAAAATGGCCACCATGGTCACCACCTATCTTGAAAAGTTTGCCACCTCACATATACTAATGAGCCAGAAACAGGATGTTAATATCACTAACCATTCCCATTAATTTAAGGTGTATTCATATAAATTGGGAGAATTATCTATAAACAGTAAAATTGTCAATCGTTGACCGGTGCGTGGTGATAAAAAGGTTGAGAATCACTGCCCTAGCTGACCAAAATGGACAAATTTGTAATCCGTCCTTTACAAAAAAAGACAGAGTCTCACTGATTCACCTCGCAGCAATCCTCACACTATTTGATAGAGCATAACGAATTACATGCAAGTAGTAAATTGTAATAACCTATATTATGTTTTTCCCTTATAAACTGGTGTGAATACTGATATTTTTGTCATTGAATTTCAAATAGGGTCAATTTAAAAGCCAAAGGCTTACGGTTTTTAGTTACAACTGGCCTACTGATGTTTTGCTTTTATATTTTACATTAGGCTATTATTCGTTCTTTCATTCTTTCATTTTCTTTTGGGCTAAGTCCCTTTATTAATCCAGGGTTGCCACAGCGGAATAAACCGCCAATTTATCCAGCACATGTTTTACGCAGCAGATACCCTTTCAGCTGCAACCCATCTCTGGGAAACATTAGGCTATTATTTGTGCATAAACATATCTTGATATAGTAATAAACATACAGTTTGTTTGAAAACAACATTTTTTGTCATCATTACTGCAATCTTATATGAGCGATTATATCAATAATTGCGGAGGTGGACCTCACAATATTTTCCAAGGATAAAGAGGGTCTCAGGCAAAAAAAGGTTGGGAACCACTGGATTAAAAGATCTCCAGGCAGATGTATTAGAAGCAGGTTAGAGCTAAAGTCAGCAGGACACTGGCCCTCCAGGACCAACTTTGGACACCCCTGACTTTAACTAACTGTTCATGATGTATAAAATGATACAGCACTGTTGTTATTGCTTAAATACTGAGTGATATGCTTTAGTACACTAAGTTTCAGGTGTCGGAAATAACTAAATCGCGAACTGTACCTTACTATATTGCTTTTTTGGGATCCTTTTAGGATACCTAGCACAACAGTAAACTTCCAAAAAGGTGGAGCTGGACTCGCTGCTAAACATTGTAATAATACAATGATTCTGCAGAGATGAACCATGCTGAAACAAAGCTCATCCCTTCTTGTGACAAACAAGCACATGCCAAGAAGCAAGAACAGGATCTGCTGCATGTCGTCCATTTTTGTTTATGCAGACATGTGGAAACCACTGCATCTCCTCTGCATTTGAGCACACTTGCTATGTGTCTGCATTAGAAATAATGAACTTGAGTTTGCAAAATACACATAACTTCCCATATGATTATTTTTTTCTATTCATACCAGAAGTGACATTGATTGCAACTTTTTGGCATATATGATGCTATTAGACATTGAATGATCAGCCTGATCAGGGTGACCCTTACCGAATCGTACTGTACCTAACTTATTGTTCAATGAAAACAAGCTCTAACTTTTTAGTCGCACTACCCTCCCCTATTTGGTGCACAGCTTAAAAATGGCTTTTAAAGAGGTCTGCAATTTTTTGAAAGGAATGAATTTCATGTGCTTTGGTTAGTTCAACTTAACCACAACATATATCAAAATCACCATTGGTTTGACAGTGGCCTAGAAGCCAGTCTAATATGTGGATAATTACTTGCAGGTATTTTTCAGACACAGCCTGTGCTTTCAATCTTTGTCCTCATGAGTGCTGACTCTTGCCAGCTGCCTTGCTGTCTTACAGCACTTTTACTACCAGCACACAAATTTAGCTTTAAGTCTGCCAGAACAGAAACTTTTGTATTGTCTACTGTATTTCATACTCTTGTTAATTGCTTAGATGTTACAGTAAATTGTGCATTGACAAATAAACAGTTTGGGGCATGTGGCTTTGTTAACTGGTCTGCTATGGTAGAAGTTTGCTGGGGTGACTGTTTTAAGCACTCTGTCCTCATCTCATTAGTTGCTGTGCAATCCAGATCATCTCAGTATGTGGTTTGTCTGGGTTAATCTCACTCTCCTGTTGTCTGCGCCCCATTGTTTGGTCACGGCCCCCTGCTAATTTTGCACCAGCCAAAGATTCAAGCTGCGTCCCAAATCGCATACTTATGCACTATTCTACGCCATTTTGTAGTATAAATAGTGTAAGTAGTGTGTTCACACTGAAAACTCTAAAAATAATAAGTGCACTTTAATTACCCGGATGATGCACTCATTCAGCTGCTAAAATGAAGTGTGGAATGATCAACACTTCACGCACTCAACGACCGCAGGTTTGCTTACGTAGTGGAAGGGGCGGAGCTATCGGACGCACATGTTGGATAACTTTATTTATTTTGGATGGTGAAAGCAAAATTCTTCTACGAGAGTGATTATAGCGCCTCCCGATGGTGAATGCGGCAATACTCACGGCAGGTAATATTTGATAATTCGGTTGTTTATTTCACTGATTTGGCGACCGTCAAACGTCATCAGGGAAACGGTTTGAATTTCCGCTTAGTAAAAAACCATTAGTGTGCCATTTGGGACAACACTACATACATATACTATTCTGTTGAGTGTGTAAGTGCATAAGTGCATAGTGCATGAGTGCATAGTGTATAGTGTGCCATTTGGGACGCAGCTTCAGACACGCATCTGGCTCAGCCTGACTGTTGGTTGAAGTTGCTTGTGTTGGCCAATTCAAATTATCACAATAAGCGAAAACATAATCCAGAATTCAAGCAATTTGTGCTCCTTGCATTTTTGGAGTCGTGCAGTATTTGGCAAATATTGGATCAATACAGTAGGACTACATTTACAGTAAACAAATTCTGATTTATAATAATTATAAAGGATCAATTGACCCAATTAATGAAAGTTATATTCATTAAATAATTAATTAAAAAAATTCCCAAACCCCTGAGACATTCATTCATCTTCAGAAAACAAATTAAGATATTTTAGATTAAAAACTCCCTCGTGCTCCATAGTTCCACGTTCCAAGTCAAGAAAAGGAACTAAAAATACTGACTTCAGTGGTTCAATTGTAATCATACCAAGCTCCATGATCAATTTTGTGATCCAAAGAACTGTAAAAACAACTTTGTTTGCCTGTGCCTCCCGTTTCAGATCAGGGTGCGTTTGAGGGTGTGTTGCTGCCTGCCCCCTCAGATTACGATCATGTAAAATAGGTTTTGGTAAAAAAAAAAAAAAAGTGTTTGAAAATTTGCCAAGTCTATTGTCCTCCTAGTGTGAATAATAAGCTGTGATGGCAATATTTTAGGGCAGACTGTTATGCAAGGTTGAGCTTTGATTGGTGTTTTAGCACATTCCCCCACCCTACTGCAAAGGAGACTACACTCATCCAAAAGAAGATTGCAGCTACTAAGGTGTCGTCAAATATTTTTTACATTTTTATATAAGTTTTCATGGTTAGTCACAGTTGTCAGGTTGTTATTCCATTAAGTAAACTTGTAAGAATAAGTAGATATAAATAGCTTTTGGTCGTGTTGTGTGTTAGCAGTAGAACGTTTGTATTGGTCTGCTCATCTGATGAGCTAAGACCTATTTATCAGCCTGTAATGAGTTGTCTAATATGTAGGTCTAGGTTTTTTTTCCTCATGTGGATATTAGGCATGCGCCGGTGTAAGATTCTAACGGTATGATAACCTTAAATAAAAATATCATGGTTTCATGGTATTGTGATCATTGCTGTAAAATACATTCTTTTAAAATTTCTGGGTAATAAAACAAGAACTTTGAACACAATGGAAATCACATACTTCTATGCTATATAGTACTATATATATACTATATATACTATTTATATACACTAAAAACAGTATACGATGCGAGAAATACCCGAATGACCTACTACTTACGGCAAAAATTTAAAGTACGCATCCGATGGACCCATGATGTGCCCAGAGAAAATTCATAAATAGGAGTGAAGCGGGTATGTCACATGATGAAAAAATGGCATCGGTAGTATTTGCAAGCTCCATTTTTACTCTATAGAACATACTTTTCTATTGGTCGAGTAGTAAATTCAAATTCAAATGCAGTACCTACTGAGTAGTTGGCTATTTTGGACACAGCACAATATATTTTATTTTGAGAAAAATTGTTAATATTTTGGATCAGTAAACTTATCAGGCTAAATTATTCAAATGAATCATTGACTTCTGCTATTGTCATTAGTTTCAAAAGCATTTTAAACGGCATCTTTGATTACTTTTCTGCCAGAGATACCGTTGTCCTAAAAAACAAAACAAAAAGCAAACAAAAAAAACGTAAGAAATTTTTGGGCGTTTTTAAAACCTTGACTTTTCCAAATCGCGATATACCTTGAAAACGGTTATTATGCCATGCCAAGTGGATATATGAAGATACATTGCATACTAGGTACAATTAATGTTGTTGCAGCAACAAGATGTATATTTAATGGTGCGTAAAAAGGTATTAAAAGGATAGTGATTGACACCCCTCTGTATATCAGACGCTCTCAATGGCTGGATACTAATGGCTAACACTACTGGATCTGATGGCAGAATGTTGTTTTGTCTCTAGTACACCCTGACATGGCGCAGTAGAAAAGATATAGGAGAAAAGAGTCGTAAATACATTTTTTTTTCTGCACAAAAGTGTTCATGGAGCTTTGTATGATAACAGTCGAACCACTAAACTAATAGGTGAATTTTAATATTTGGGTGAAGTAATCGTTTAAGTAAACTGTATTGAACTTATCTCTCAGCATACGAGGATGTGAACACATGAACATGACCACCTCTAGAGCTGCTCCGATGGTCACTTCACCAGCATTTGTAGTTTACTTGAAAAGAACGATAGTCATATCATGAACACACAGGAACTTCAGAATCACCAATCAAAATAAAAGTTGAACATGTAGAAATTATAACTAAATTATGTGTAGGTCTGAAGATTGTTAATGCACTATTATATCAATTAATTAGACAAACGTTTTGATAATTTACAAGAAGAAAACATGTTTACTTTTTTAAAAGCAAGACTTATGTGCTTTTTTATAGAGGTAAAAAAAGAGGCCGTCACTATGGCCAAAGTTTCATATTCAATAAGGAACATTTTTATGTTCATCGATATCATTATGAGCATTTAACTGTTATTGTATGGACCAGGGGTCACCAACCCTGTTCCTGGAGAGGAACCTTCCTGCACATTTCAGTTGCAACCCTGACCAAACACACCTGTTTGTAATTATCAAGTACTGCTTTAGGTTTGTTTGATCAGTTTTGGGACTGAATTCTGCAGGAAGGTAGCTCTCCAGGAACAGGGTTGGTGACCCCTGGGTATGGACATTTACCTTTTTTCAAGACCACCATTCATCAACTTTGAATCAGTTCCTATGTGGTTTATGCAATCAGTTAACTTTTTCCTTTTTCTTACTGTAGCGACTATATTGCCAGAATCAAATATGCATATGCGTAACAGACCTCTTTCAGCCTCTTAATAGAGGGAAATTTGTCTTTTTTCTGTTCTAAAAGGCTGTTAAAAGAATAAAATTGATTTGCTAGTTGCCAGTAGTGGTAAATGCTTTTATTCAGTTTGCTGTGGTACAAATCTGCACCTAATTTCTCCATAGACAATCAGTTGGACATTTCCAGACCCAGCAGATATCAAGGTAAGAGCCAACTACGAGTGAAACTGAAACTATTTCTTCAGCAAATGGGCTTTGGAGACAGTTCTTTATTCAACACTGAAAATGGGTGTTCAGAACAGTGTCTGAAAGTTACGTTTAGTTAGAACATTAAAACACAAAAGATTTACTCATTTACAGTGGACTTGAAACATTGTTGGACATATAAGCTACCAATCAATCAATATCATTGTTCTCAGATCGGGTTCATAGTTAATGAATGTGGATTCTCTGAAAAATGACCTTAAGACCAAGAAATTGTTTGAAATAATAAAAACCCCGAAACAGCTTATTTGATATTTTTAACTAATGCAGTGACCTTTTATTTTAGTTCATTTGTGACTAAAGTGTCCAAATATACAGATCAGAGCCCAATTGGATAAATTGAACTGTTTGTTTTAGTTGATATTTTTCTCCCTCTTCTTTATCCCAGGAGTCGTAAGGACAGTCTGGAGAGCGAGAGCTCAGCTGCTATTGTTCCTCATGAGCTGGTCAGAACACGACAGCTAGAAAGTGTACACCTGAAGTTCAACCAGGAGTCTGGGACTCTTATCCCAATGTGCCTCAGGTAATACATAATCTGTAGTAGCCGTGTAACATTACACAGTGATAAATGTTCAGTGGCATTTCAACCTATTCAGCTTCTAGCAAAAAATTGAAGTGTAATGCTGCATTCACACCAGACGCGGAACGCGCATCAAGCACGAGTGATTTACATGTTAAGTCAATGCAAACGTGCAAGAAGACATCCTGCGGCACGATACACGTGAATGGCGCGATACGCGCGAATTGAGCGTTTTGCGCTTAACGCGCGAATCACTCGAGTTCGAAAATCTGAACTTCAGCAGACATTCGGGCCGCGTTAACCAATCAGAAGCTTGCTCTTGTTGGCTATGATTGTGACGTAGAACCTGTTGATGGTGTCCCGGGGGAAATCCTCCAGGCGACATCGAAATTAAGTCATCAAACTGGGCTAGGCTCAGTCAGAAGCACCGCTGAAAGTGTCCGTCATCCAGGTTCAGTTTCTGGAGGAGTTTATGAGCTCACAGAGCTGGATGCACCTCTGAAAGGATGTAGTGGACTCAGACAGGACCCTTAACGTATCGACGCTATTTTTCAGTCTTCAAAAAGCACATAAGCACTGTTATGTTTTAGATAAAATCCATGTTAGCCATTTAGCTATGAGGCTAGAGTCACTGGGCAGACAGAAGCCCTGCCCATCACGCAAATCCGCGTCTGTTTTGAAGTGAATTTGACGCGCGAGTGAAGCGAGTAAACGCAAATGGTCACGTGGTAATTTATGCGCGATTAGCGCGATTTTTTTTTTTTTCCGCGCGTTCCGCGTCTGGTGTGAACACAGCATAATAAACTGCTACAGTTTTAAGATTTGCATTTGCAACATCACAGTAAAGATGCCAACACTTAAGGAATCAGTAATTCATTGTTGATAATTCTTTAAATAAACATCTTATCTGTTTACTTATAAATAATGAAACAAGTAAATATTCAATCTGCCCAGTTGGTGGAATGAACTCCCTAACTGCATCAGAACGGCAGAGTCACTTGCTGTCTTTAAGAAACCACTAAAAACTCAACTATTTAGTCTCCACTTTCCTTCCTAATCTGCAATTGCCTCTCTGGCGATACCACTAACTACTCAAAAAAAAAAAAAATAAATAAATAAATAAAACTTACATTACTAATGCTTTCCTTCTTAGACTTTACACACCTGAAAGTTGCCTACAGCACTTATTCATTGTTGCTCTTCTAGTTGTGTAAATTGCTTCCTTGTCCTCATTTGTAAGTCGCTTTGAATAAAAGTGTCTGCTAAATGACTAAATGTAAATGTAAATTATTTATTTCAAGTGTATTTGGCAGGGACAGTGCACATTTATAAAACAGAAATGTACAATGTACCAGAATTAGCCAGTTAGAACTGATGGTAAAATATTCACCTTAAAAAATATAAAACAATTAATCAAAACATAATAAATACAAGCTTCAGAATGCAATCCCTAGAATAAAAACAATCCACCAAATGGTTGATTAAGCATGCATGTCTTTACCCTGCATAGTTTTGTGGTGCATGCAGCTTACTCACGAAACGACACACGTATACTAAAAGCTTGTTGTTGCGTTTTTGTTGTGCCACACTGCATCCGTTGCAAACAGCATTATGTCATCATTATTTGTAATGGATTAGCACATCATCTAAGACAGATGAAGTGAACTAATAGCTAAATGGCATAAGCCTTTGACACACTTACAGTAACAGACACAATTTGCTAACATGGACACACGAATGTAGCAGTTGACAGTGTTGTACACTTCAGATTGTGATTATTACATTTAATCATTAAGTGGTTCTTTTCACATACATGAAAAATGGCAAGAGGAATATAGGAGAAACTGCACAAATGATATTTCAAGAGATAAACCCAGGCGTGAATGAAAGAAACTTTATACATTTTATTTTTCAGACCAGGCATGACTAAACTGTTATACAGCTAGTTGCTGAATTAGGTGGCCTTCCTTTAATCTATTGAACGATGCTCCACCAATAACTACTGTAAAGGCTTCCTCACCATGGAGCATATTTTGTTAAAATGTAATTTTTTTTTTTCACTGGGCTGCTCGCAGCGACCAGAGTTTGATGCCTGGCTCAAGGTCCTTTTGCCGATCAAGGTTCTGTCTGTAATCTCCACTGTTCTATCTTAATAAAGATGAAAAACCCCTAAAATAATTACTTTTATACTGAAAGTACTTTGCATGTTTTTAAAAATGTATCTGCAGGAAGAATGTAGTTTATTATATACTGACATGTAAAATCTTAAGATGTAAATGTTTTTAATGGGCCACGAAACCTCCCTCCTTTGGTTCAAGTCTACCTCAGAATTTTTTCAAAAAATGCTTCATGATGAGCAGAGCAGGGGAGAAGGAGGGGAGAGAACAACTGTTGTCAGTTAGTTCACAAAATGAGACACAAACCGTGAGGAGATGCATGATTTTATAGTTTAAAAAGTTAAAATGCAAAGAAATTAACAGTAATTTAATGTCCTGCTACATTTGTTATTTGTTATTTCATATACACATAACCTCAAGTTATATCATCATAAAGATAATCATGTTTTGTATAAAAGCTATGAATGAGGAGGACTTCTTTCCTCCTGAATCCCTGGGTTTGTATGCAGACACAGTAGAGCAGTGCAGAAGGTCTCTTGCCCTGTCTATTTCAAACATTAGCCCTGCCGGTAATCTGGAGGGAGTTTAAACATAGGCGATGTGTCTAAATGGTAACAAACTCAATTTATAAAAGACAAAGTCCACCATTCTCTATTTTTCGTACAGCTCTCCCAACAAAAATGCTTGATGCACACAAACAGCTTTGCTGTATTGGCCTGGATAGCATCGCTGGAAAAAAACATGCAACAAACCCCATTAATCATAGAATCAAACACATGCGGACGCTTCACGAATGGGTAATTACTGCGAGCTATGCGCAGATGCCAGTCATTGGCTCCCACAACTTGGCTGGTCTGCCTTGCTTTCAGAAAGCCTGTGTTCTCGTGAATAATTAAGAAGCCAGCTCTTCTCATAGGATAAGAAAACCTTGCTATGAATAATAATGAGAAACCAATGCGTCATCACTCCTCTAGCAGATTCACGCTACCTGTTTTGATCCCGCCGCAACAATTATTTTAAACCCGGAAGATGAAATTAGCGGACAAAAGCTCAAAATTGTTCCCTACAATTAAAGCTAACTTACTAATGTTTTCTTAATTGATTATCAACACACCCAAATCTGTTAAAAAAAAAAAAAAAATTAAGTACTCGAGGTGTCTTGAACCTTTAATGTAAATGTTTGCGTTTTTGTATCGTCTCTTATTCATGTGTGAAGTTGTGTTATATAATTTGTTCTTATTTACATTGATTTGACCATGAAATGTATAAAATTATATACAGTTGAAGTCAGAATAATTAGCCCCCCTTTTATTTTTCGATTTTTTTCTTTTTTAAATATTTCCCAAATGATGTTTAACAGAGCAAGGAAATTTTCACAGTATGTCTGATAATATTTTTCCTATTGGAGAAAGTCTTATTTGTTGACTTATTTGTTTTACTTCTGCTAGAATAAAAGCAGTTAAAAAAAAAAAAACAATTTTAAGGTCATTTATTAGCCTCTTTAAGCATTTTTTTTTGATAGTCTACAGAACAAACTATCGATATACAATGATTTGCCTAATTACCCTAACCTACCTAGTTAAGCCTTTAAAAATCACTTTAAGCTGTATAGAAGTGTCTTAAAAATGTCTAGTAAAATATTATTTACTGTCATCAAGACAAAGATAAAATAAATCAGTTATTAGACACGAGTTATTAAAACTATTATGTTCAGAAATGTGCTACAACATGAAGTTGGGGAAAGATTAAACGGGGGGTAATAATTTGGTGGGCAAACTTCAACTGTATGTGGCAATAAAAACAGAAAAAATTGTTATATTTAGTTATCAATTATTCTTTTTATTTCTTTGTTCATAGCTACCCAATCTGGCCAACATCCATACAATCACCAACAATCCATCAATAAATCCTCAATAAAACTTAACTTTTTATTTAAAAATGTCTTTTTTAAGTCCATTTATCACAATGGTTTAATTATTTTCCCTACAATAACATTCTCCATGTATTTACTGCTGAGAACACTGACTTGGACAGGCTGTTGGGCATACATTTAGTTTATTATAGTTTTTAATACTTTTAAAACATTTGTCAAGTTTTTTTTTTTTTTTTAAATAAAGGTTATGTTGAAAAAAATTTATGTTTACGGTCCCACTTTATATGAAGTGTCCTTAACTACTATGTACTTACATCAACAAATAAATACAATGTACTTACTGTGTTTATAATGTATTTGAGAACACTTGTGGTGCTTTTGAGTTGGGATAGAGGTTGGGTTATGGACAGGTTTGGTGGTATGGGTAGGTTTAAGGGTGGGTTTAGGTGTAAGGGATGGTCAACAGTGTATTAACAAATGTAATTACAAAAGTTAATTACAGATGTAATTACATACATGTATTTAATCAAGCATAAGTACAGAGTAAATACATGTATTTACACAATAAGTCCATTGTAACAAACTATTAATTGCTGTGTAATTACATATTAGTTAAGGCCACTTAAATCAGTAAATGTATGTAAAATATTTATTTTTTAAATATATTTATTTATTATTGTATCATCAAATGTATTAAATAATTATATTGTTTTTGATATGCAAATAAAAATCTTTTCCATCTGGGCCATTGGAAAAGCATTTAGCCCTGTCTTTAAAGTCTAAAATTTCATTCACAATGGTCTTAAAAATTGTCTTAAGTATTAAATTTAACTTGGATGAAGCCTGCAGAAACCCTGTGATGCCTACAGTGAGTTGCATTGGTTATTTTTGAAAAACCTGTATTGAATTTTTCCATGAATACCAGTACATTACACCCCTACACTGCAAGTAGTAGCATACTCGTACACATGACACTCACTTGCCATATATTGTGTCCAAATCCACTTTGCTGAGGTGTGAACTTTTTAACTTCAGGACGGCGCTCGCGTTTCCTGATTTCACTCTAAAGTGAGAAGTACACACTGTTACTGTTGCTGTTTAAATCGCCAATACATTGGAGTTTTACAAACAAACCTAGCTCTCTGACGTGCCAACAGCTTTGATTTCACTGGCATGAACATAGCTGGATATGAGATTTATGTAATCTTCTTGTTTGGACAGAAATGGAGAGACATGGCTCACAGAGAAACCTTTGTTTAAAGTCCAAATGAGAGCAGGGAGAAAGTGAACGTCGGGTTTCTTATAGCTTTAGCCTTTGATATTTCCCGCTCGCTTTAACAGATACGACACTTATCATCATCATCTGTGTAAATGATTCATTCAGCTTTATTCCTTCTAACCTTTTCTTGTAGAGGTCGTCTGCTTCATGGCCGACATTTCACATTTAAAAGTATTAATGGAGACACGGCAATCACCTTCGTATCCACTGGGGTGGAAGGAGCATTTGCCACCGAAGAGCATCCGTATGCTGCGCACGGACCATGGCTACAGGTAACAGACTAGCATTATTAATATACCAAAATACTCACAGCAAAGTGCTTTAAAAGATACTCGAGAAGGTTGAAATATGTGACGGGCTGTTTGTGTGCTAGTAAATGAAATTAGCCAGAATTAAGGGCATTAAAAAGTTTTAAAAAGTAATAAACGTCATCTGATGGTATAAAATTTTCAAGCCCAATTTTTTAGATACATTTTCAATTTTAGTTAAGTGCAGGACTTCATTCTAAAATGTGTGTGGATTTATTTACGCAGCGCCTGCAGTTTAACTTACAGTGGTTTATTATGACACTTTTATCAATCATGTTTTCCTGCAATTGACAGCAAGAACAAACATAGAAGCATTGTCTGATTGACAAGCAGCATCTAACTATGTTCAAAAGAATTTGAAATGCCAAATGGGTTGAATTTATACCCTATTTCGAAAGTAAAACATAGCCTAATAGGTAATACAGTGTGTGGGTGAGAGGGAGGCAGGGTTTCGATGTGGTCCGGTTATGTTGTGGTTCTTTGACTGCTGGTGTTGGTTGCAGTATGGTTAACAATTATGGCAGGTAAAGTAACTAGGTTAATTTTGATATTGTCAATTAAAAATGAATAATATTTTGTGCTCTTTTTGTGTGTTTGGGTGGGTTTTGGGCAGCTTTTGGGATGGAAAAAGTCTGCTATTTCTTTCTACTATCTATCGCTATATCTATATTACCAGGGCCGGCCCACAATAGTATTTGGATGCAGCATTTATGATGCAAGCTGAGATTGCATCACTCAGCAATGCACTCAATGGAGTGAGTGACGTCACTGTGACGGGTAGGGTTAGAGGTGGGGTTAGGTGAGCGGATTAAAAAGCATTGGATGCAGCTCAGATTGCACTGCACCGGGTCTGCAGCCAGACCCCTCTCCCGGCCCGTGGCATCATGAGCGTAAATCTGATTTAACAGTAAGGGGGGACAATAAATAAAAAAATTTCTTTCCAGCATTTTTTGAAGGGGACACAAATAATATGGCCGAATTGTACTAATAACTATATGTCCCCGCAGTTAAAAATGGTTTCATCATCATTATTATTGCATGGAGACTGTCATTATGATTATTTTTAAAGTTTTTCTCCGGTTCAACGACAAAGCAATTTTTTCTTCAAAACTATTTATTGCATTGTTTGTTGTGTTGTTTACAGTAAACTGACTGACTACTGAAGCAGAATAAATGCAGGAAAAGACATTTTCCATACTCATAATAACTAACTGGTTTACATTACACTTGTTAAAATGACCGATCATATTGTAAATCAGTGAGCCTGTGAGGTTCATCTGCTAAACAGCCACAACTCAGAAAACATTTTAAAAAATTGTTCATCCCAAAAGAATTATCATTATCCCTTCAATAAAGCACAACACCCTTACCTGACACTGTACATCTGACTGACCCTGCCCTGCCTGTTCCTCAATCATTTCTTTCTCCTTTGCCTGCGATTAATATTGTGACATTAGTATTTTCATAAGCACTCATTCTTAAAGCCAAATTGCCTTAATACGTGAAGTTTTTGTACTTGGCGTTTAGCTGCACTGAAAAATGATCTTATGTCCATTTTCTCTGTCATTTTATCCAATACATGACACAGCTATGCAAGTTTATTTATGTTGTAGCACATTTTAATGGTAATTCAACATGCTTTACATAAAGAATGCAAAACTATCATAAAAATAATCACAATAAAAACAAAGAATTAAAAAAGGTCAACATTTTAATTTCAAATTAATTGAGTCACTTTAGAAACTGATTATACAAAAATACAGTGGGGTTAGTGTGCACAGTGCTCATTTAGCAAATACACAGCAAAACAATATGCTAATTGTGGTCGTAAATGTTAAGTTAACATTATGCCAAGTCGTCACAAATTAAACAATGTATGTGGCAATAAAAACAGAAAAAATGGTTATATTTATTTATCAATCATGGGGGGGTCGAGCCTCGGATGGGAGGGGACATGTCCCCCCCGTCCCCGCCGGGATTTACGCCCCTGCGTGGCATAGATAGTATAGGCAAATGCTAAGGGCGCCGTACATCCAGGGGGCACCAGAAATTAAGGAATTAAAAAAAAAAGTAACTTCCACTGTTCTTAAAACTATGGTATTACTTCAGAAAGGACCACATTAATTTAGCTGCATAGTGCAAAGCCTACTACTAATAATAATATCGCCTAAGTCATGTTTTGGGGCCTAAAAATGCAGCATTGTTCCACCATTAAACTTTTTTTTTTTCCTGACTTCTTTTATTTAGATATTACTTACTGAGGAGTTTGTAGAGCAGATGCTAGCAGAGGTTCAGGATTTGAGCACCCGTGATGTGGTAAGGTGTTTTCCCTGTACCTGACAATACCATATTTCACTATGTTTTGTAAACTTCTTAAAAAGCTGTATATCTGTTTTCCCCCTTCACCCAGTGTAAGCTGCCGAAAGAGTACAGCTGGCCTGATAAGAAGCTAAAGATCTCAGTCCTGCCAGACACTGTGTTTGACAGCCCGCTGCAATAAGACTCACTGTGCCTGATTACAAACCCACAAACTCTTTTGCCTACAGACAGCTGAAGGAAACAGACACTCTTGTCCCAGAGAGCATCGTAGATGATTGCACAAGACAGAACATTTTATAAATGTACTACATTTTGTATTGTGTCCATTATACCACTTGTCTTTGTGTGGGTCTACCTATTCAATCCTAATTGTGTTTCTTGTCTCAGTTTCAAAAGACGTGCTATGTATTTCTTGTTGAAATTTTAGCAGCACAAGACAACGTGCAAGCACTGGTGCCTTTATTTACCCTGGAGTGTCATGTTGAGATAAAAATCACCTTTCTTAAAGGAACAGTTCACCCAGAAATCAAACAGGCGTCATGTACTCACACTTAACTTGTTCCAAACCTGGCCTCTCGTCTTTTCATATTGTTTTTCTGGATGTCAAAACTACCGGTTTCCAACAGTCTTCACTGTTGTTTTGTGTTCAACAGAATATTAGAAAGACTAAACAGTTTGGAGCCACTTTTGAGAGTGAGTAAATAGTTATTTGGGGGTGAACTGTCCTTTTAAAGTCCTGCTTGTAATGTGAAGGTAAGCATACTACAATGTTTATATATAAACACCAAGTCTGAGTATCTGGTTTTGCTCAACTTACCTATTTAAAACCCAGTAGTGCCTATTAAATGAGGATCATCTTTCATAAGGGCTTTAACTGTTCACCAGTAGGTGGTTAGTCAGTTCACCTACACAATACCAAAGCCTGTACATTATGTGTAGTTACATACAACGTGCAAAGTAACATGATGAGGAGCATGAAATTGCTTTTTTTTGTTGTTCTTTTAAACAATTTCACTTGTATTAAACTTAATTTCCTTTGACATTTTGATTGCATTCCAAGCCTCCTTATAGGAAAGCAAACTAACTGGTTTCTGAATGGCAGTCAATTTCTCTGAATGCGTGGTTGTCGTTTTTGGGATATGTGCTCAATATTTTAGGTCAAAGTGTATAAAAGAACCTCTATTAGTGCTTTTCAAAGATGAATTTAATTAGAGTGTACTGACATATTTTGTTTTTAAATCACTACACTGCCTGTGGTTTTGTTACCTTTAAGTGCATTAAAGTTATTTACATAAATCAAGGTGTTTGTGTTCATTTTAACTGCGCAGGCTGAAAGCTGAACACAGTTGCTGCTTATTTGTCGACTGCACATCCATGCTAATCTCCTGTTCCAGCAAATCCTAGTGCTGCTCTTGAATTGAGATCTGGTGACTGGGGGTCATTTGAGCACAGTGAACTTGGGGTCATGCTCAAGAAAACAATTTTAGTTGTTGGAGTTTTGTGATACGGTGTGTTATCCTGCTGGAAGCAACATCTCAAGATGTGAACGCTGTGGTGGACGTGATCAGCTACAGTACTCAGGTAGACTTTGGTGGCGTTTAAACAACACAACTAACAGCGCCAAAGTGTGCCTATTAAAAACTCTTACCCTGACAGCAGCTTGAGCCATTGATACAAGGCTAGATGGATCTATATCTGTTTTAATTACACCTATTTCGTCATATACATCGTTTCTGTTTATCCCTACCGGTGATTTGATAGATTTCTCTGTTTATTTTCATTCCTGTTGGTTAATTCTAGTTTAAACTTGGGCATAAAAAAGAAAAAACGTGGACAATGTTTCCACTTTCTATTGTTATAAAGCACATTTTAAAAAGATGGTCCCACGTTATATTAGGGGGATGTTACGGGTCCTGGCTGCGGAACTCATGGGCAGATTACCTGAAATATCAAAAGAAACAAAATCACATTGAGACTTCAGTGTCTTTCCCCCAGGCGCAGCTTAGTAGCATCTGTTTATTAACAGTCATATTACAGCAAAAATATCCTCACAAATCATGTTTTATTTAATTAAACATGCAGCTTTGTTCTCTTTGTTTTTCTCTTTTTACAACAATGAAGTCTTCAAATACTAACAGTGTACTCTCTCATCATAACACAAAAATATACCTTCTGTATTTTTATCAGTAGGACACAGAATACACTTTAAATTCTTTGTCAACCATCTATTTAATTTTTTTTTTTCTCTGTAAACACCTTAATTTATAACCATTTACCATAAAACAACTAAACTCAGAACAATCATGTGTCTGTTATTTGTATGATTTAAACTGTAACAGTTACACTTGACACCAATTACCAATGTTGCTCTCTCATAAACTTTAATCATTAACAAATATATAACCAATATACACAAATAATAAGTCACTTTCTGTTCAATTATCACATACTAAGTAAAATACATAATAATTGTAAATGGAACCCTATGAAATTCAAAAATAGTCACATTAAGCTTTACCGGAAGTTTATCATTGGCTGAAAAACACTATCTGCATATAGCCTATTCTCTTTTGACCCCTGCCATCAAGGCATCTTTTAAAAAAGATCTGACACTTCTGTGTGTGAAGTTTTCTGTTAACCCTAAAAACAATTGTGCCTGGAAAAACCCAGTAGATCAGCAGTTACTCAGTCTGTTTGGTATCATCAATCATGATACTTTTAAATCACCATAATATGTCAATTCTGATGGTCAATTTAAACTTTAGCAATCCATCCCTAAATGTGAGGAGCTACTGTCATGTGATTGGATTGGATTATTAAATGTGTGTGGAAACAAGCTGTTAAAAAGTTATACCTAATACACTAGACGTCAAATATATTTCAGGCTCCTTTTTATATTATTTTATTATGGCAACTCATGAACCTAATACTATTACTAAGCAAGTCAACAAACCTGTGTCTGACATTTTGCCTTTACGTCTTGTAATGAGACGCTGTTTCTTTAATATGCCAATGTAAATGTCCTGTTTGTAATTAACAGCACTCTAGTGGGCTGTTAAAATGCTGATTAGTAGATTCAAACCGAGCTGTTTTGTATTAAAGCTGTAATTTACTACAAAACTGTCATCATTTATTCAGCTTTCACTTGTTCTAAATGTATATGGGGTTCATTCTTCTGCTGAATACACTCAAAAATGATTCCTGCTGTTTGTTCAGATTACTTGTTTAAAATGAGCTGAAACAACACAACTCTTGTCATTTCTTTAGCCACTCTATTTGTTTTATGTAGTTCCCGGCTTGCTTTGCGTGGGGTTGAATTAAGAGAGGGAAATGTTGACAATAAAAGTAATCTTAGTTGTTTAAAGTCAATAGAAAGATTTGTTAGAGTTGAATCTTCACTTCAGTTTGAAGATTTTCATGTAATAGTTTTGAGATTACCACCTTACAGAAGCACTCATGCTTTGGGTGTTGGCAGGTTAACTTGCAAAACTGCAGTTTGTTGCTTTGCTCAGTGAGCAATAACTGTCCTAAAATTAGTTTAGAGATCAGTCTCAAACAACTGTGAATGTAACTCGTGAAATGTGCTTAAAAATGGCTCTTTTAGTTCATTTAGGATAGCTTCAACTAAAAATGTACAACACATAATAAACATACATTATATTATCATATCTTTAAGTTAAATACAAATACAAATGTATTGGACCAACTCAATTGCATTTAATTGTATAAATAGTTTTTTAATTGGTGCTACACAAAATGTGTTAGATGGAAATCCTGCTCTCAACTAAATTAAGTTCATCCAATGAGTTTTGAGTGTACACAAGATTTGATTTGAAAATTTTGATAACCAAAGAGTTGATTATCACTGACAAGGGATGGCCAAGGGACACAAGCAGTGAATATATTGTCTAATTATCATCATTTCTCAATATATCTTTATAAAAAATAGTTCACTCAAAGCTAAGATTACTTTCACTATTTACCTAGCTTTTACTTGCGTCAAACCTTTATTACACTAAAGAAAATATTTTGAAGAAAGCTGACAAACATTGACTTCTATAGTATATATTATACCTACTATGGAAGTCAATGGTTGCAGGATTTCAAGCTTTCTCCAAAATATCCTCTTTAATGTTTATTAAAATAAAAAAGTCATAAAATTGTGGAACCCCTTAAGGCAAATAGAGAGTGAAATTACATTTTTGGTGTGAACTATGCATTTAAAATAAAACAATAAACATTTTTACCATGAGTTTCAGTTTATATTATTAATAATTTTACAACATTTTGTCTGTACTTAATAAAAAGGTATAATTTAAGATGCTACTGTACATTTATTCAACTGTTTTATACTGTGTTTTTAAATAAATTGCTAAATATCCATCCTTCTGTGACACTGCCAGTCCTGCGCCTCCCATCCCGCACCAGGCTGATATCGAACCAGCAGCCTTCCGCATGGGAGTCGGTTGCTCTAACAAGGAGGCTAAAGACCATGGCCTCTGGTACAGTCGCTAGAGCACCTTTGGAGATCTGAGGAATGATGTTTACCTGCACAGCCCTTACTAGCTGGCCTCCATTACATGTTCCAGTAATTCTTAAGTCATCGCTAATAATAATGCAGGATTTACTGGAAAACCCTGAGTTTTAAGGAGCACCTATTTTACCGCTTTTACAAGATGTAAGACAAGCCTTTGGTGTCTCCAGAATGTTTCTGTAAAGTTTCAGCTGAAAATACCCATCAGATTATTTATTATAGCCTCCAAAATCTGCCTTTTTTGCTGAGTATACTGTAGCAGTTTTTTTTTTTTGTCTGTGACTTTAAATGCAAATCAGCTCCTTCTCCCCACCCACCGTTCTGACGTGCATGTCTGCTTCTCATCATCATGCGTTACGTCAGATAAACAGCAGTCGGTGATTGAGACCGACACAGATGAAGCTGAGGAGGCCACTAGTCAAAAATATGAAGTAAGTTTATATAATGTATTTGTGGTGGAGTTTCTGAAATGATAAGTCTCACACAAATGCACTTTGCAGACACACACACACACATTAGCATTTACCGATGTCGGGCGGCTGTGGTGATTATATTGGTTAAGAATTACATAGCGATTTTACTCTATTACAAACATGCAGTTTTAAAACATTTTAAACTTATAAAATCACAGAGTTGTAACAAATATTTTAATCCCAGTTTATTTGCAAAAAAGGTTTTGTGGAAATGTGTATACATGTTATTATAGAAACATGGTGCCTGTCAATCAATTCGGTGGGCGGGGAAGACCACACAAATCCCTCAAAATCACTGGGATTTGGGTCCAATTTTAACATCAGGAAAAATAAAGACTCCTTTTAAAAAGGGACTTGTTGGCATTATATCACTCTAATATGACAGTGGACACACTATAGCCACACACAGTTCTGTCCAATCAGCTTATAAAAGTTGATTTTCATCATTACAAACCCTTTAACATAGGACAGGTCAGGCACAAAACTAGAGGCATGTCCCTTTAATTCATACCCCACCCCCATTGATGAACTCCTCCCTCTTTAATGTATCAAGTCGGCGCAGATCACGTGACTCTGGAAGGGGGAGTATGTGAACTGTATCCTGAGTTGCAGTCCTGTGCCTGCATTCCTCTCATCTAGGATTTGCTTGAAAGGAGAAAAAAATCATAAATAATAACAGACGCAGATTGGAATACGGCGCGGAAGCATCTGCTTTTAATCAGGAGTAACGTTTTAAAGGGACGCGATACCCCTGGACCATCGCAGGACCGGATCTTTTTTTGCGCTTTACGTGAAGCGCCTGTATAAAGGGCACACAAATGAGAGGAAAAGTAAATAGATACGTCGTTTTTAATTCGCGTTAAACAGGAAAACAAGATGGCTGATGAGCGATAACAACGGCCAAACGATATCGTCTCCTTTAAGCGCAACAAAGGTATCTGGCTTTAATACATGAATATTTTAGGCGAGTTCGCTTCAGCACCGTAAAATACATGATATTAGGCACTAAAAAATGAACGCAATCCGCCTCTGCTAAGTGCAGACAGGTAAACATGGACCGGGTTCGCGTGATGGATCAGTCTATAATGTTTAACCAACACAGATAGCGAGAAAATAGCTTTGACAGCGATACGATCTGGCTTTAACGCTACGGGAGCATGTTGGCATACATAAATACGCGTCGATTGTGTGTTCATTCAAAGTCGCGTCACGGTAATAGATAAACAGGCTTTCTGGCTTTACCGGCTGCTTTCTTGACAGTTGTACGAGACCGAAATCCTACCGATATA